AATGGGCTAATTGAAATTAATAAATTCAATTATTTTGAGATAAAAAACTTTGTAATTTTCAGGTAATGTATTGCCATGGCAATGTGGAATATCAGGAAAAATTCCTCACCAAAGCAGGATGGGAGAGATGCCAAAGGAGCAGCATCATGCTGCAGGTCATCCACAAGATGGCAATAGCAGAATGAGCTCCTGGAAGTTCAGGCCTTTAAGAAACTGTGCTCTTTGCATCTGGTGCTTATTTGGAAATTTAATTTAGCTCAGAGCAGAGCAGACCCACGTTAACAGAGGATTAACCCTTAAAAACAACAGCCTGTTGCATATTCTACACCTCATGCATGATGCATAAATTCCATTCAAACACAGGATTCTGTCTGGTCAGTGTCAGTTTCTTCCTCTGAATCCTCACGGTGCCTTCAGAGCTGAGTGAGGTGGGAAGAAGTTCGTTTCTTCTGATAAGAGAACAATAAATTCTTTTTTCTGTAAGATTTGGGTGTCCTGTGGCTGCTGTCTCAGTGGGAGTCCTTTCTTTAAAAAGGTATCCTACATAGCATAGTTTCTATTTTAACGTTTTTTATAACCTAAAACTATATTTAACACAATACTTAAGAAAATTAATACAGCATAACTTTCTGACACAACACATATTCATTTTCATATTTGTGAAAAGACAATCATAAAATACACATTTTTCACACAAGGGAGAGTAAGAAGGACCGTCAAGGAAGCCAACTTGGCAACCTGGGTTGCCAGGACAAGGCAAGGCAAGTGGGAAGTAAAGATTGTTCCCAGGCCAGGAACAGCTAGTCTGTCCAGCCTTGATCTAACACTGAAAACATTGGGGATGCACATTTCCCTTCATATGCTAAAGAACTGTCATTCTGGTTCCAGAGCCCAAGGGCAAAATGTGGATTTTTCCCTTTTGGTACTGTCCAAAATTCAGTACCTGCAAGCACCGGTCCCAGGCAAAAACTGCCCAGAAAAATGGATCTGGCTTCACATGGTTCTCCTAAGGGTTTCCTCTCATGTGCTCCTGGAACACTGGGATATGAGAGATCCTTGAGGGTTCTGGGAGGAGCAGGGAGAGCAAGGGAAGGCTGGGAAAAGCTCAGAGAAAAAAGGAGTCTTGAATTCCAGGTGGGGTGGGATGAGCAAGACAATGGAAAGCAAGGGAGGGCTTCAAAGGCAACTGCTGGGCGTGCAAGGCATGGCAGGAGAGAGGTGGTGAAAGCAAGGAGAGCCCTGGAAGGGAAGGAAAGGCAAGGCTGGACCTGGACAAATCGCAAGGAAAGTCAAAGTGGAGATGGGTGAGCAAGGCAGTGCAAGGCAGTGCAGAAAAGGAGGGCCAAGGAAAAGCTGCAGAGGGGATGGGAAGGCAATTCAAGGTGTGGGAAAGAAGGAAAAGGAAGCAGCTGCTGGAGGTTTTAAGCTTTTTGGTATCTGCAAGAGTGAAAGGCTCCACTGGTACCTTGAGGAAGGGTGAATATTTCAGAGTACGAGACACACCTGCTGCTGATGCCAAGATGATTTTTGTCTCTTCTTTTATATATTTTTATATATCTTTCATGCATCCTCAGCACTCCTAGCATGCACACTTGTAGTTCCTTAAGTCTGACAACTCAGCACAGTCCTGGTGTTCTGTTAGGCCAGGAGACCAAACACCCTGGAGGCCTCACAGGGCCAGAAAGGCCTAAGCTAGCTTGAGAAAACAAGATAGAATATATCCTGGAAACTAAATATTTGACCCATTCAGGGGAAAATTCCTCAGGATGGGAGGATATCACACCATCATTCAAGCCTCTCACTGGGGCATCTTTGTTAGAAATGCTAATTTGTAAGGTCTATAAATTGTACACCTGATCTACAGTGTGTGCGCCTTGCACTGCATTCCACCTTATCAAAGTGGTGCGCCACAAGAATCCCTATTAAAATACTGAGGTAAAAACCTTAAACCATGTCTGGCTCTTAACTTTTAGGACCAAGGAAAAGGCACCAGTGCAAGCCAGACTTTCCTTCCCAGCTCTAGAACCTGTGGCCTTTGGGCACAGTCTGTCCAAACTGAAAGGTTTCCTACTACAGCTCTGTAGGAAAAGAATAAAAAGCAAAGAATGCTTCCCCATTGCCTCTCTGAAGATTAAAGTTGCCTCTAACAAAAACTTCAGAAAGTGCTTTGTTTTTCAGAAAATGAGGCACCCTGTTGGAAGTTACTCCTAGAGCTTGTGGTTGATACACTAGGGCTGCTAACACCAGCAAACTGACAGCAGGACACTGCTGATCCATTCAGCAAGCTAGCAGCAAACTTTCCATATATGAGGTGAAAAAGCTTCTGATATACCAAGTGAGCCAGCAGTAAATGTTTCCATACATCCAGTGAGCCACTTGTGGACGTGACAATTGCCACTCTCAAAACTCTCCCTCAGCAGTCTCCATTTGGATCCTGACGGCTCAGGATGGTACCTAGAGCTGAGAAGGAAAGTGCAGATAACCGGGTGTGTGCTGGGAGTTTCATGGGTTCAGCTGAAATCAGCTGACACTTTTGGTAGCTCTGTTTTTGCCAGGTGTTTTCAGGTTTGTAGGATTCTGAGAGAGTGAAAAGCTTTGATAGAGGAAAGGAGCTTTTACTGCTCTTTGAGTATGGTGCAAAGAGAGGTGAGAAACAAGTGCTCACTTTGAAAATAGTAAAAAGGTTTATTAAACCTCGACAAAAATACAACAAAGGACTAAATAAGGAAAAATTTGCAGAGCTAGGAACTACCCCTCATGGATACCACATGGCTGGTTCCCCTTCAAGATGGATGCTCAGTCTTTTATACCCCTGGGGTTGCATCAGCCAGCCCTGGTCCCTCCCAAGGTCTGTCAGTGAGCTCTTCTTTGCCATTTATAGGTGCAGACTGCTTTCTTGTAACTGGATTGGAGGGCAGCTGTTGCCATGCCCACCCCCTCAGCACCAAGCTGCACATGTGTGCCTTGCATGGGGCAGGAGGAATGGAAGAGCTTGTTACTGGGGCAAGGCAACAGCTGACCTGCAATCCAGTTACAAGAAAGCAGTCTGCACCTATAAATGGCAAAGAAGAGCTCACTGACAGACTTGGGAGGGGCCAGGGCTGGCTGATGCAACCCCAGGGTATAAAAGACTGAGCATCCATCTTGAAGTGGAACCGGCCATGTGGTATCCATGAGGGGAAGTTCCTAGCTCTGCAAATTTTTCCTTATGTAGTCTTTTGTTGTATTTTTGTCAAGGCTTAATAAACCTCTTTAAATTGTCGAAGTGAGCAGTTGTTTCTCACAATGAGGGAGACAGAGGACTCCTGCACCTTTACTGGGGTAATGGGAGCGAGTCCCCTGGGGCACAGCCCATGGGGGTTTCTCTCTCCCGCAGGGTTTCAGAGGCTGCTCACAGGACTCTCACTGCTTAGAGTGACTCTGAGATGTGTCACAAAGCCTCTTTTCCCCAACCTAGCGCTTGAAGAAGCAGTCAGGGCTCTTCACTTCTCGGTCTCAAGGTTGTTTATTGTTCTTTGTCTATAAAATTCTTTCTCCTGCCCTGCCAAGGTCCATCCAGCAGGACAGTTCCAGGCACTCTGCCTGCCCCCAGGGCAGTGTTGTGGCTTTATACTAAAAACTACATTTACAATGTTTACAATTACTTCCCAATACCTATCACCTGTGTTAGACAGTGAGCTTCTACTCTAAACCAATCTAAAAGTGCCAACATCACAGCAGAAGATGGAGGCCAAGAAGAAGGAGGAGAAAGGCTGGACACACCCACATTCCTCCATCTTGCCTTCTGAATCCCCATTCTAAAAACCCCCAAAAAATCTATTTTTCACCTTGTGATAAATTCACTGTCATTCTGCTTAAACTTTCCTGGCTTATAATTCTGCATATAAAGGTTGGTAATTGTTTTTTCTAAGGGCTGAATCAAAGGCACAGGGGTCTGGGGCTCTGTGTCAAGGTCCCTGAGCCTCCTGGGCAGGGGCTGGAGCCCTCCAGGGCAGCCAGAGGAATTTCCTAGGTTCTGACAGGTGCAGCCCCTTTTATCCCAAATTCCCAGCCACATGCTGCCTTCTTCCTTCCCCCATTGGCTGAGGTACCAGGAAGGTGCAGCCTTCCCAAACTACCCATCCCACCTACCCCATATTCCCCTCAAACCTGGCATTTCCCCCCAAAGTGCAGAAACTCAGCCTTGTGCTGAATCTGTTTCAGCAATCACTGTCTGGGCTCTGTAATAAACCTGGGGCTTGAAGGTGGTAAAGACAGTGACCGATTTCAAAGATGTTAATGTGAGAAATGGTTACTCAATTTTCATTATTTAGAAAGGTTTATTAAACCTTGCCAAAAACACAACAGAAGACTAAATAGAGAAAAAAGTTACAGCACCGGGAGCAGAGGATTTCCCCACCCTGTGCTCACCCACACAATGGAGATTTGGTCTTTTAACCCTTTAACCCCTCCCAAAGTTCTGTCCATGACCCCTTCTTCACTGTCCAGTGGTGGAGATCTCTTCCCAAATCCAGATTGGAGCTCAGATGTCACCACAGTGACAAGCCAGCCCTCCCAGATGTCCCTTGATAGCCACACAAGGGAGTACAACAGAACTATGAACCTATAAAACTTTTCTGAACCTCTACACATGCTATTTGTCTGTTAATTGTGAGAGTCAATCATCACATTACTCATCTCTCACACTAACACCCATGGAATTGCTTGTGAAGACATTTAAACACACCTTTGCTTTAATTCAGAAAAAAAAAAAAAAAAAAAAAAACTTTAATTCAGAAAACAAGACACCATAATTTATTAACAAACAATGAAACCAGCTTTGCTAGACACTGTAGTCTGGCTTAGAAATCATTTATTATATGTATTTGATGCTTTGAAGTACTGAAGTGTTGCAAAACTAATACACCAGTACCAACATAACAATTTAGCAAATATATATGTGTGCCAAACTAAATTGAATATATTTCAACCAGTAGAGCACTTTAAAACAACCTGGTGGGTATAAAATACTTCATTCAGGAACGTCTTCTTCTGGAACGACTTCCAAAAGCATCTGGAGGTGCATAGTGATGGGCTCTGAGGAAAAGATTTATTGTTAGAGGCTTTATAAGAGAACTTTCAATTCAAACTCTAAGTGAGAAAACTATTCTTCTATGTCATTGGTTTTTTAATCTGTATTCCTATTTCAAAATAAAAAATAAGGGGTGGGGAATAAACAGGCTTAAGATCCAAACTACAGCATTCCTCATTTCCAAACTTCCACTGGAGTATAATGCTTCAAATTACATAATTTAAATTATAATTAATTATAATTATTAAATTATAATAATCATCCTGGGGACAAGAGAGACAAATGATGGATTTTTAAATGTCTGTAGAACTACTAATGCTGTTGTATTCAGCTAATTCCAACTACACTCCTAGAAATACATGTGTATCCTGTTTTGCCTGAGATAATATCAGAGTTTCTCTAGGGATTATGCAATCAGTTCATAAATGGTCATTCTGAGTTCTTGCAGCTTTCACTGTACTCAGCCCTGGGATTATTTTTTATCTTAATGCTGTTAACATTTTCTTCAGCAAGGATAGTTAAATTAATAATCAGAGGTAAAAGCCCAGTGTTTGGTGGCATAAGAATGTCTGCTAATCTTCAGTTAATGGCTAAAGCAATGTTTTGAAATACAGATAACTGAAAAACTGACTTTACAGATTAATTAGTTCTGTTTCCTTGTGCTACTACAGTGATGTGTTGTTTTTTGTGAATTAAGTTTAATTTTTCCTCAAGTAGACATTATTTCTTTTCAGCAGGAAGGAGTGAAATCCAGTCTTCAGTAAAGCCCACTGCATGCTAGGGAAATTGCTTCCCTGCACATTCTGCTCACATGCTTTATGTGAAAAAATGCATATTACATGATTGGCTCTTCACAAATATTAAAATGAATACTATATGTGTTATGTTGGAAAGTTATGCTGTATTAATCTCTTTTAAGTAGTGTGGTAAATACAGTTTTTCAGCTATAACATAATATTAAAATAGAAACTGTGTGATGTAAGATACTTTTTGTAACTAGCACTAAGAATGGAAACGATAATCAAGAAATTCTTCACATTATTCTCTCTGGATAGAGATAACAGCAACAGACCCAGAGATCCCAAGAGAAGAATTATTGCCTCCTTATAAGATTCAGACTTGAGGAACCAAGAAGGTTAATTTACAGGATGGGGGTGGGAAGCTGAAATTAACAAAAACACCCTGGTTTGAAAGGAATGTTTGAATCATATATGAGCTCTATGAATATGCAATACGCTGTTGCTTTTAAGAGGTAATTCTTTGTTAGCAGTGTGCCTTTTGGCAGAGTGCAAAGCACCCAGATGTCCAGAATTCTTTGCTTTTTATTGTCTCTCATTGTCCTAATTTTTATTGCTATTTTCATTACTATTAAACTTCTAAAATTTTAACACTAGTGAATGGCATTTTTCACACTTTAGTAGGGATTGACCAAGTAATGAACTTTAACATTCTAATTAATCTCAAGTTTAGCAAATACTGGGTTTGGAGCTGGCTACCTGAGGTATACTTACTTGATATTTTTTGTGCCCATCTGAATTTTAAATGAACAAAAAGTGCATAAACAATAAGTCCACTAAGTATAAATAAAGTACAGTACAAATAGGGCAGTTCAGGTGCACTGATGATGGGTGCCAGTACCAGCACTATTGACACCAGTGTCACTATGACAGGAATGATGATGGGGACCTGCAAGACACAAAGAATAAAATCACTTCCTCATTTTTTAGCTGTTTTTACAGAAATTGCCTGTATGAAAGAATATTTTTATTGCCTTATGCATTTTTTTGCTTTAAAATTTTCTGGAATTAGATGGGGCAACGGAAGGAGTATCAGAAATATGGGCAGGGAAAACACTTCTGCCAAATTATCCACTAAGATCTCTTATTTTAAATTGCAGTGTCCAAGTTTGCATTTTAATAAATAATATGGGGACTGACTTGCATGCAAAGGCCTGGGGTCTTATTTTGGATATTCTTTCAATGGAAGTCTGCTGAGTGCAATTACTCATCTCTGAAATTTTGGCTTTTGTGCAAGTGAAAATCAATATTCTGTAATCTTTTCCCAGTCCTTATGAGCTTTGGGCTTATGAGTCCTGGTGCAGATCTGCTGTTAAATGGTTGGATTTCAGGCAAGGGGAGTAAAAAACAAGGATAGTCCCCAAGGGGGCTGTTGAAACATCCAGATACTGAGTGTGAATTCCTGCTACAGCATCTATGGAAAGGAGGAAAAGCCACACAGAACTTACCCTGATAGGTCTCTCGAGTTCCTTCCTTGTAAACCTCATAACAATTAGTGCAAGTACAGTTAAACCATAAAATATCCAGACTGCAAAGCTGAAGTAATTTATGAGGGAATTAATGTCACCAGGAATAACATAAATAATAGCAATGGCCCCCTAGAAATGAAAACAAAAATTAGTGTAGTCTATTATAGAAGGCTGAATTTTACTTCTGTTTCATTACAGCAGCATGTGTGATGTTCCAGAGTATGAACTGTGAATTCTTTTGCTTAAATATTTGGGTTTAAGTGTGTTGCAGCACCTTTAAAGATTGTGACTGCTTCCTGCCAACACGTGGTTATTTTTGTGTGCAATCTGAATTCCATTTTAAGTCAAAATTCTTATCATTTTTATGCATTAATCTGTTTTATTGTTGACTAACTATCTTGAAGATACAAAATATATTTTTAGGTTTTTAATACTACTGGGATTGAAAGGAATGAGGAGGAGGTGTCTTTACAAACAAACTGTGGGCCTGAGGGTAGATAGGGCCAGATAGGGAGAGGTGAAAGAAGCAATGGGCAGAACCATAAATTCCAGAGGAATTCCACTAATTGACACAGACTGTTACTCACTCAGGACTGTGCTGCATCTCTGCACTTGGAGAAAAAGAACAGGGACATGAGGAGAAAGAAAAAGCAGGGGTCACACATTGGAAATGAGGTCTGTATTAGGTGATGTGGGAAGTCTGTACCCCTCAAGTACCTCAGCCAGTGGGGAAAGAGAGGGAAATGTGGCTGGAAATTGGGATTAAAAGGAGGCTGTGTCCTCTAATAATTTGAGAAACCCTGGGGGGAATGCCCCATGGCCTCTCCCTTTATTCAAATAAAGTTATGAGACTCCTCTGTCTCCCTTTTACATAAACCTCTGGTGTTTGTGGATTAATTTTCCCGACAGGATTGAATAGATCTTGTTTTGCCTTGAAGACAAATGAGTAAAATAAAAATAACAAGATGTTCTAGATATATTCTTGAATGTGTCGACTGACTGGACTTTTTTAGTGTGAACTAAATCTTCTACATGGAGGAAATATTCCCACATGGTGGAAACAGGGTAGTGATAGCTGGCTTACAAGTATCCTGTGAAAGGTTTCCCTAACATTAACTATTCATTTAAGATTTTGTTCTCATGCCATTGATTGTTAACCATTTTGATTTTTAAAGTCCAGTTCTGGAACAAATATGTTCAAATTAGAGAAGCTGGGGGTTTTTTGTAGTCTTCTTCCCAAAATGCATTTAGCAATTTTCTTGTCTAGATAGTTAATGATAGGTGTCAAAACTGCTTGTAAGAAGCTGTGAAAGTATGAATTACTGGAGAATTTTTGGTGATAGGTGATGATTGTTTTTCTGTATTTAAATACATGCTTACATAAAATATAATGGCAGGTGCTGGTGTTAAATGCTTGACACTGATGTAGGACAGAATCTTCAGCACGTGCCCCTCACGACCTGCGACATACACAAGTCTGGAAAAACAAAAACAAGGCAGAGCAGTTGGTGTGGCACCTGGGCTTTCAAAGGTGTTACTAAAGTAGACATCCAACTAATTCCATCAGGATTTTCTTTGATATGCATTGGGATTTAAAGATCGTAGCAGTTAAAAATGAAGGAAATTAAATAACCGGTATTAAAGCAGTGAGATGAAACAAATTCTGAACAGTATTAAAATAGTGCACTTGAAGCTAATTTCAGAATCATTATTGAAAAGTATTTTGGAAAATGTTACCAACTGTGTCTCTTTTAATTAAATATTTCCTTTTTCATGTGTTTCATAGCAAAAAGGTGTATTGACAACCTTTTGTCAAAAAATGGTCTTTAAAGCCTCATGGTATTCAGATGCTTTTGAAATCTTAAAATATTTTAAATAGTAAATGGAAGTGCTGAACAAATGATAGAAAGGAACAGCTTCTCAACTACCTTTGCTGGTATAGTGATGTTTTTACTGGTAGCTTTTAACTGTTCAATTCTCAGCTTTAAAATTGATGAGAAATTAAAAAAAACTTTTGTGCTAAAGTGGTATACCTTCATTGAATTAAGCAGAGACAGTTTTTCTAACTTTCAAACCTCAATAGCCACTGTTTCTTTTTGAAAATTAAACAATATAGCTAGATTTACAGGCAATTTCAAATTACATTTTGTGTGATGTGGATCAGAAGAATGTTCTTATGTCTGTAGATACATGTATATAAATTTTTCCACCCTTCAGAACCTTTCATGAAGATATTTAGAATGGGGACTTACCTGCCTGCAGTGAAACAGGTGCCATTGGCAGATCCAAGTGTGGAAAATACCACAAAGAGAGGAACTATCCAAGAGGCTGGATAAAGGACTCTGTCTCCAAATGTCTGGGAAATGGGATTAAAATTAATCACTTTTGTCATTTTAACTACCATTTAGTATAATCAGTAATATTAGAACCTCTTTGTAAGTAAAGTAAATGGGTATCTGAGCTGTGTTACCCAACAAAACCATGTTGTATATTTTGTGTAGTTATTAAAGAATGCTCTGCCAGATAAAGACCTGGATTCATTCACTGACCACTATAAAATGGAGTGGAGTGTTATTGTCATGATGTTGTCAGTTCTTGCTGTAGAGCTCAGCTAGGTACATTGCCCAAAGGAATTTGAATTTAAATGGTTTTGACAGGTAGGTTTAGTTTTTAGTTGGGTTGGGGTTTTTTTTTAGTAAATCAAGCATGAGGAGCTTTGCTTTTGCACAAGTCTGACATCAGAGATGTTCCTTGGTCCAGAATTGGGGCACTCAAAGGCTGCTGACAGCTGTGTAGAGCTCTCTGCTCAGAGCCAGTGCTGAATTTTGTTAATTCCTTTGTTAATTGATCGGTTCAGTGCTGGTTGCTGTGAGCTGTTCAGATTGAAAGTTTAAAGGTGTATTAAAAGGGACTGGTTCTTATACAAGATTTAACTTCATACATTCTCTGCTGTACCTTCTGGTGCAGACAAGCTGTTTAAATGCACAGATCTAAATTTCAAAAAGTTTTATTTTAATTTTTTAATTTTTTTTTGTTTTTATTTTTTAAAATTTTTTAAGCATTTCAACATTACTGTACTTCTTCACTGGACAAGACTATTTTATATAGCTAAATTTTTTTTCATTATATTTATTATTTATTATATTGTTAAATAATATTTATATATTATTATGCCACTAATTTTATTATTTTATATGTATATATAAAATATAGATTTATATATATGGAATATATACTTTTAAAATATATATTTATATAAATATATATTTTTAATTATTATTAAGGGTTTTTTTAATGCTTGTCACATACCGTTTGTTTTCCCCAAAAACTAGCATTAGGAAAATTGTTGCAGGACCTCAACAGTTGTTTCAGAGACACAGAAAATTTACTGAGTGCAACTGAGGGGCAGATGTAATTTTTATGGCTTCAGAAACTTCTGTAATTTCTACTTTTACCCGTAAGAGTATGTCTTGCAAAAAATGTAAAAAACCTATCTTTCAAATTTTTTAAGGAAAAAAGCCCAAAAAGAATAAGGTGGAAGTGACTGATGGACAATTTGCTGTTATCTCCATAACAAACTCAGATCTATGTCCTTCGGCATATCTCAGAAATCCTGGGAACACTGAAAATGCCAAAGCAGCTGTCAGATGTTATTTCCCTTTCCATCTTTTTGATGCCTATGGAAAGCAGTCCCTCTCTGACTGCAATGTTTACAATATGTTTGCTGAAGAATTTTGTTACTTTTGCTTTCTTCTTTTATTCCATCTGGAGATGACAGAACTACTCTCAATTTGGCATTACTGAAATTTTAGATAAAGGAATGATAATAGATAATGGGGGAAAGGTGGCACTAACAGCTTAGACTAAAATTAATTTTATCTTACAAAAAATTAATGGAATTTAATGGCTCACATGACTTCAATGCAGATGTTCTGTTACAAAATTAAGTAACTTACCACAGCAACAGCCTGGGACTGCAGGAGCTCTGTTGAAGTCATCACAGTGAAATAGGAAACATTTATCAGAACATAACAAACTGTGACCAAGGGGATTCCAATAATTATAGACAGTGGCAGATTTCTAAAGAATGGAAAAGCAAAACCCCATCAGCATTGCTGGATCACTGCTACAGTTATCATAGTAAACTCTGGATTCTTACTTTTCCTATTTACTTTTTTTTTAATACTGTAGAGCTATGGAAATCAAGATTGTAAAAAATTATGCAAAGATACAAAGCCTGTAATAATAATTAGCTAATTAGCTTTGTCTGTTAGTGCTCAAACCTTGAATAATAGAATATTAGTGCTTTTAAAAAACAAACCAAAATATATGCTTGCTTATAGAAAAATATATAGGGCTTGATTTCTTGCCAGTAAAAACACTGCTTTCCTACACAGCTTTACCTGTAAGGATTTTTAAGTTCCTCTGTGATGTAATTGAGTTGATTCCTGGAAGGAAAAACATTCATAGAGTATTTCAGCAGTCAGGGGTTTAAATACTCACCTATGAGGTGAGGTTATTTCTTCTGTTATTGTTTTTAATCTTCTCAGTTTTAAAAAGGAAAAAAAAATGTAAAATCAATTTTTTAAGTGGGAAAACTACAGGATAAAACCATTGTGAGCTTCTTATCCAAAAGTCAGGCTCTTGATTCACCATCTCTTTCTGCATTATCTCTAGTACCTCTGAGACTAAGTCTTGGTTAAAATATCCCAGAATATTCAAACAAAACTTTGGCAGACATCTTAGATTTCCAAAATTGCCTTTTAACTTCAAGCTTTGCAGTATCTGAGTCTTTTCAAAGAAAAGCACAAGTGTGCTGGGGGCAGAGAGAAAAGCGAGTCTGCTGTTGTTTCAGAGCGGTTCTGTAAGTGATCCTGCCTTTAGAAAACAGCCATAAAAACCTTTTTAAGGATTATACCTATCTGAATTACAATTTCCAAATACCCATTTTTGCTATAGCGTGTAGACCAATTGAAACAAGGTTTTTATATTCAGCCTAATTGAAACAAGGTTTTTACATTCATCCACTCTGAAAATCTGAAGAGTGAGTATTTACAGTTCAAAGGCAAATTTTCAAATGGTAGTGCCTGGTGGTTACAGACACAAATAATTATTTAGGGATCAGCTTCTTTACCCTCTAAAAAGTCCATGTGAATGCCTGAATTAGCAGACTCATGCCTGAGTTGAGGCACTCAAGCTTGGAAACAGAACCTAAAAAAAATAATCTATTTAAAATAAATTCAGTTTCAAAAGCTTTTAAATGGGAATTGCTGTGTGGTAGACCAAGATTATATCCTTATTTGCTCCCAAAGTACTGACCTATATACAGACTTTTGCAGTTTGTACATTTTAGAATAACAATGGATTTGTGCCAACAGAACTCAGTGCCAACTGACATTCCCTAAGAAAAAAACTGCAAGTTGAACCTTATAATTTCTGACACAAAGTTCCTTTTTATGTTCTCCTGGACTAATCAAACACCTCTATATATTTCACAAGAAATGGAGTTTGGTGGGGTAGCCTGCAGGGAAAGCTCTTTTGTCTAACACAATGGAATTAAATTTGTTATATTCTCCTTATTACTGCAATATCTAATCACCTTCAACACCAAAGCAGTAATTGTCCTTTTGGGATCTAAGATATTTTCTTTCCCTAACAAACAGACACTAAAAGAGGGTGGAGTTCTGGGTTTTTTTACCCAAACTAGTGTTCTTTTTCCAGAATTCATCAAGACATTCTTAATAACAAGTCAGTTGTTAATGCCTTCAGAGGGTTCTACAGGGAGAGAGTAAACCAGTTAAAGGCTGTTAAACTCTAACTATGAAGGTTAATAAAGATTTCTTACCATCCATCATATGCCCAGAGTCCATTATAAAATGCCAAACTGATAGAACTAACAGAAATTTTACTGCCCTTGAAAGAATCTTTAAAGTTATCAGTTTTTCCTGCAAATAAGAGGAAGATCACTGATCAGTGTTGGAATTAATTCTTGTAATGCCCCCACCAGATGAAAAAAACATTCCCACATGTCTCATGTTTTGAAACTGTTCACTTATAAAATTAATGAACACCCTTTTGTAATAATTGATCTGTAGTTTATATTTGTAGATCTGTAGATTTGTAGTTTGTATTAATTGATCTATAGCGTTGCATTTTGCACACATCCCCTTCTGTGAAAGAAAATGCCATAATTTCCAAGAGATTTAGAACTAAAACCCTGAATGAAGAGATCCAGGGCTGTGCCTTATTTCTGTGTCTCTTCTCTCAGCGGGGAATTTTTAATCATCATAGCAAAAGCTAAAATAATGTTTTCAAATAACATATATTTTATTACCTTGTGCAAGTAGAACAATTCCACTTACAATAATGATTGTGACAATGATCATTTTAGCAGCTGTGAGAAAATTCTGGAGGTAACTTGCCAACTTCACACTCAATGAATTCACAATTGTAATTACCACTAAAAGAAACCAAGTTATAAATTTTCACACTGTTTGTCAGAATTTAAAGAAAAGTTGCCCCTCCCCATTATTTACTGTACTGCTTTTCTGTCACATTTTTTTGTCCATGTATATTATATATATATGTATATTATATATATATATGTGTATATATGTGTGTATACATATATATGTATATTGTATATATTTGTATATTATAACAACATATAAACATATAACATAAACTATGTATATACAGTTTGTATATTTTATATATATATATATATATATATATATATATATATATATATATATATATATATTTGCCTGTCTATACAGTTTTTGCTTACTGTGTTTGGATAACTGTAGAAATAGTGAGGAAAAACAGATTTATGAATTAGACTTTTATGGTACATTTAATAAAAAAAAATTTAAGTTGCACAGCATTCTGATAAAGAAATAGTACTTCCACAGTGATTTTTTCTTCCTTTTCTGCTAGAGATAAGCATTCTATATACAGATGTATCTGTCTTAAGGAAGAATAAAAAAACACTCAAACTAGGGGAAAAAAACATTTTAAATCCATCCTTTTTATGCAGTTTAATTAATTATTGTGGGAAGGACTCACTGGACTGTGTCTTAAAGATTTCTGGTGTCTCTGTGAAGATGAACATAAGGAAAATGCACTTGTGGATGGGGCCAGACACAGGTCACAGTGCAATTTTGGATCTGGGCTGTCTAAAATTGTGATTCTTACCAATAGCAGCAGCTGCCAGACACTTGATGACAGCCTGGGGTGGGTCACAGCCCGGGTAAAAAGGAGCTGATGCATATTCTGCAAAGCTGAGGCAGATGATGGCAAAGGAGCTGGGTTTGGTCACCAGCAAGCTCGTCCAAGAGAACAGAAAGGCTGGAATTGGCCCAAAAGCCTCCATGAGGTAAGGATATTCTCCCCCAGACTTTGTGATCATTGTACCAAGCTCAGCAAAACAAAGTGCACCTGAATGACAAAAAAAAGGAGGTTTAGTTCATGCACTTCTGAACCTGGGACTGCTTGAAGAGATGATCACTTTTTAATAGAAAAGTGCAGGGAATTGATCTGTACTGTGCACCATTACTGTCTTCGTGTTTCTGTTTATTTTACTGTATATGCAAAATAAAATTTTAATTACTTGTGAGCAATTGAAAGAAATACCCTGAAATTATTCAGATGCAGTCTAAATATTATTACCATTGATATTTTAAACTTCACCAAAACATTACAAACAAACGTTTTTATTTCATTTGATTTCTGTTTAAGAAATGAACACTGTAAGAAGCACTTAAGTGAGAACTGCACTGGCTGACACACCTATTGGAAACTTGAAAAACAAACTTTCTGCACAATTTTGAAATAAATTGTCTGCTAAGCTCAGCATTAAAGTACAGTGATACTTCCTATTCTATTGCTGTATATGGCATTTTGAATTAAGGTTTTTCTTGTTTGCTGCCCCACTTGATACAATGCTCAAAATTTTGTTTTACTTCTTGAAATATTTTGAAGTGCTTAGTGCTAAATTTTCAGATAACAGAATTATAATTGCAGAAGTTTGCAGAAAGCCAGCAGAAAGTACCTAGCTTACTATCAGTAAATTTCACGTATTGGCAGCTATTGAAGTAGAAGACTATTGTCTTTATTACAGTCAGTGGATGAAGCAGGAAAAACTAAAACTTCCTTTCGAAATAGAGTGTAATTTACAATTTTGAAACTTGTCTTCTAGAAACACCCCATTTTTAATTTATGGTTGAGTACTGCATATATAAAATACAGAGCGGGATTTAGTTGATTTTGTTCTGGGTGCTACAAGCTAATTTGTGAAATGAGAATATGCAGAAACAGCAGATAGCAAGATTTAAGGCAAAGATTCAGATTCTTTGTTGAGTTTTTACCTAATGTTGCCAGAACTCCACAGGCTGCCCAGATGGTTAAACAAGGACCCACAGCTTCCACATTGGCAAGAACTGATTTTGGAGAAACGAAGATACCTGAGCCAATAATGGTACCCACAATCATACAGATTCCACTAATCAGGCCCACCTTGAAGTAAAATGAGATGGTTTTGTAAGCAACTTCTAGGAATTCACCAATTGCTTCTCAATATCACAGAACTACAGTAATTGTCCTTACTGACTGGTTTTTATTGGCTTTCAATATGTAAGTTCTATAGAGAAATATATTCAACAATTTTGCAAAGTTTCACTCTTCTTATCAAGATCTCTCTGTGGTGTACTTCCTGCTGTTTTCAGAAGTACATCTGTTTGTGTTTTGCCTGCCTATTTCCTTTATTAAACTGTCTTTTGGACTATGTGAGTCTCAAATATAACCTTGAATAGGTGAACTTGCCCTTTCCTCTCTGATTAAGCCATGACATTCTTTTACAAGCACTTGATGAATTCTGAATTTTCTAAGATTCAGAAATTCATGGATGGGATCCTTTTTTGTTGCTGTTGTTGTTGTTGGGCAGCTGTTTTCCTGTCCTTGCTTTAAATATTTGCACCTAGGAATGGTGTTGCTACCAGTGGGTGAGAAGATCATGTTCTCCCAGATCTGCAGTGACCTACAATATTGCATGAAACCACTGAAACTGAGGCATGGACTACTCAATATTTTCTGATAGCTATGGCTACTCTAATAACATCAGTATTTTTCCAGTCTTGGCACCAAACTAAAACCACATAGGTAATCTTTCTCCAGGCTACTTCAATTAAGAGAAATGCCACTCCCTCCCGAGAGGAAGTGACACAACTGTTTTCTAAAGCATCTGTAATTTTCTGTAAGAGACAGTTTTTCACTTCTCTTCAAGTACCAGTGCCTATTTTCTGGCTATAAACACTAACAAATTTTCAGAAACAATGAGCTGGACAACCAACTATGACTTCTGAAAATTACATGCAGAAAAAAAAACCTTTATGAAATGCCTCAGTTGATCAACTTAGAGTAAGTCTTTGAATTATTTTTATATCTGATAACTTCAACAACATATCCTTGGGGGTTTAGTCTGTTTTTATCAGTTATTTAACTTCAGTAACTGGCTGTTTCTGAGAATGCAAGCCAACCACATAGCTGAGATATTAGGATATTTTTGCTAAATTGGACACAGTGGTGTTTTTGTAAGCTGATGCACATGCACAAATGTCCCCTTGTGCCTCCCTCTGCCAGCCCCGGACCCAAGGGGAAAGGAAAAAGGAAAGGAAAAAGGTTTGCCTGCTTCTGTAGGTTCATCGTTTGGGGCTCATGACTCTGGATGGATTGTCTGTCCTCTCTTCCTTTGTCCTCTCCTTTTCTTCTCTTCAAGCTTTCTTCACCCATTTGTTTTCCTTGCTGAAATTTCTAAGGAAACAACAACAAAATCTTATTCTGGCATATGAATGTTGCTGGACTTTACCTGATGCCCGTGGGTACAAATGAGTGCAGGTAAATATGACCAGAAAACAAACACAGCACACAGTCACTCCCAGGAAAGGATTTCCATGGCACTGCCTGCTCGGAGAGGAGAAGGGATGCCAGCTCCACCTCCTCCTCTGTGGATTTTCCTTACACCCACCTGTGTGTAAGGGCTTCTGTGGCTTCTCACATTCACTTTGCAGGATGTCCTCACTGGAACGATCCAGCTTTTATAGCCAGTCCTTCCTTTGAACTACTCCAAAGGTCCGGACAGGTTTTATCTTCCTCCCAAAAACTGGTTTTCTTCTTATCTAGGAGACCTTCTTTCCATTCTTCATTTAATTAGGCTTTGCCTCAGTTCCTTGGAGATGGAAGCATGTGCTAAACAGAGTGTGGGCTACCAGAATTATCTGTTTGGCAGCTCCCAGAATTATCTGTTTAGCAGCTCTTTGCCTCAGAAAGGGTGACCAGTCTTCTCTGTGTTGATTCAGGGTGAATGTCTTCCACTCAATGCTTTGTCCTTTTTAGAACTGGAATGTAAAGAGTTTGTTTTCAAATTTAAATTTACGGGGTTTTTTTCGGTGAGGATTTTGCTTGTTTCCCCTAAATAATATTGTTCCCCTAAAATACAATCTGAGACAGGGAAGGAAATTGATGAGTCTCTAAAGTAGATTCAGTCAAAAGTCTCTTCTCTCCTAAGACTCTGCAACTATATTTACTTCAATTTGAACGCTGAAGATCCTTATGCTTTTTTACAGATGGTAACTGTGGAAGGCATGTTTAGGAAACATAAGTTGGTTTTTTTGTAAATTAATTTGTAACTGTCCACAAAAACTGCAGCATTTTAAATTGAAAGAGTACCTATCTCTAGTATTGTTGGTCTTCAGAAACATTTAGGATATAAAGACATCAGGTTTATCTTCTGAAATAAAGATTTTTTAAATAATCATAATGAATTAACTGTTAAGATTAAACCTATGAAGGAAAACTGCACACATGAAGAATGCAGGGCTTGGGTGGCTGAACTTCATTGCAGCTTTGTGCCCAACATCTCTCTTTTAAAGCCCTGTATTTAGACTGCTTCAATCATTACCTTTAGCAATTCTTGCTTTCACTTACCTTATTTATTTAAATTTGTTTGCAGTTAATCAGGTGCAGGAATCCTTGCCAAGTGTGTTTCTCCTGTTGGATTTCCCAGCCAGTTACAAGCAAGGCATGTCCATGTCTGAAAGCAGAATACGAAGAAGGAGCAGCAGCCTAAGTACAGAGGTTATAAAAGGTAATCATTAAACCCATTTTCTGCCAAGAAGTTTTGAGTTAGGAACCACAGGTAAACTGATAGTCCAGTTAGTTTATCTTTAAAAACAAGAAAATCCAGCTTTGTCCCATTTGTGAGAATGTTTGTCCAGTGCTAAGCAGCGCATCACAAAGTGAGAGTGAACCATCATTTGGAGAATCTATTTTGATGATCTTTACAGCAAGCAGCTGGTAATTCAGGAATGCTTTGGCAAGATAACCTTGAAGTAATTGTCACATTATGGGTGCATTAAAACCATGTGCTCAATTTGAAGCCTATTAAAAATAGTTGATGTTTGTATCTCGAGAAGGTAGAGAAGCATAAGCAAAAATATTTCCTTTGTTTTTCATTAACTTGAGACAGCTGAGCGGGCAGCTGGTGATCCCTTTGCTTGCAGCTACAAAGATTTTCCATTTTTGTAAATATTTGAAGATCTTGCTCCAGTGAAAAATGCTATTCTCTGTTTCTATTCAGTTGTATATCCAGGAAAAAAAAATAAATATTATTATCCTGAATTCTGCCATAAGGTAACTGCTTTCATTTGAGCTAGTCGTCCCTAAAACACTTGCAAAAAGCCCCTTAATCGTGTTAATCACTTAATTGTTTTTAGCAGTGCGGTTGTACAACTCCTTTGCTGTGTGCCACTCCAATCAGTGAGTCCTGAGCACCCCCCTGTAAATGAGTTTGTCAATAAATGCCTACTGGTAAAAGCTAAAAAGTGTTCAAATACTGGCTCCTGACGTTAACATTTAACATTCCTTGCCTCGTTGAGATAATGGCTCATTAACATGCACTACAGGGCTGGAAATCAAGACCAAATTGTTGGGTCTGAGTATCAACAAACCCACCCTAAGCACGTTTTGACAATTGTTTTCCTCCTGTTTTAACAAACTCCTTAAGCATGCAGGATTGATCAGCAGGAATTCCCTCTGCAGTGATGATGTAAATCTGTGACTAAAAATGGACTCTTCAGAACACGTGAAACGTTTGTTAGTTTATATTTGCCATGTTTTCTGGTGCTTGAGCCAGACTGCACTGGGAATGTTTTTCTCCAAAGTAATGTTGGTACAGAAAACAAAATCAAAACTGTACCTTTTTAGTCACTGGCTTTTCCCTCTCTTTGTTTTTCTTGTTTAATTCTCACAGAAATGGGGTTAAGATACAAGAGAAGCTCTTCCATTTTAAATAACAACTTCTTGAAAAATTACCACAGTAAGAATGGTCAGACAAAACTTTGGGGTTTTTTTCTTTGCCTACAGATAAAGAGAATAAAACAGGTTAAAATTATAGTCATGCTTCAACCATATGAAAAGGCAAGTATGAACAATTTATTCATTTTAATGAAAGTTTTACAAGGACTTTTAAAATATTTTTCATGGTAATTGTGATATGTTATTAAATTAACCAATGTTTTCATATCCTTCAATTTCCCAATTTCATTTGGTATGAGATATTATGTAATGTACTTCTGTCTTCCTTATTCTGATAATTTTGAAATGAAGGTTTATAATCTTTTCATACCTGTGTTGTTCCTGAAATGCCGCAGAGACTATTGAAACAGCTGATGTGAAAAGAAAAAAAAAGAAGGGGAGGTCATATTATGGGGCTAACATTGTCCCTTGAAATGAAGCAGGCACAACTTTCACATCACTTCAACCCTGGAATTTACAGACCAACAAAAACCCCAAAAAACACATAACTTTGATGAAAAGATAATGGGGTATGTAATGTTTAATGTTCTGTTAAGTAAAATTTTGCTGAGGAATTTTTCTGAGATTTAGTGTAATCTTTGATTCATTTGTGTAGATGTGTCAGTTGTCCTTTCTCCTTCAGATCTGTTTTCCATTTTGTTCCTTCAGATCCCATAAAAGCAGCATTGAAGAGATGCAGTTTGAGTTTTTGCCTGAGCACCTGGTTTCTTTAGTCCACCTGGAATGTCTGTCTGGAGAGCTCCCACCTGCTCAAAAGGTGTCTTCAATAGAAAAGTACCTTCATTTATTTGTCTAGTTTTGTTTTAGGGGTTGCTCTCCTTGGGATGCTGTAAGCCCATTAAAAGATTTTTAATTTTACCACCAATCCTTCTTTTCCTCAGCCACCAAAGGAAAAAAATAAACATTGATTTCAAGGATTCTAATGTTATTTTCCTCATAGACAAGAGAAATGACATTTTACAGCCGTGGGAAAAGAATCCTTCCCTCTCACATAGGTACACAAATAGATGAAGACATGAATGAGTTCAAATTCCAAGGCATTTTGAGGCAAACACTTTGAGGGCTGCTCCTATTTAACCCTGTAGTTTGAACCTTTTCAGGATGCACTTTACCAATTAAATCGTAAAAAGTAATTTTCAACTTTAATTCGGGAAATAGCGAGGGTACAGTATATAAATGCACCTTTTATTATCCCTACTTACTAAAAATGAAGGTTAATGTTTGTTAGGGTTGGAATTTATTGCTTGCAGTAATGCATGCTCTGCTTTGATCAATACTAAAGCAAATGATAAGGATCATCCTAACTTGCAGTTTTTAAATGCAACTTAGCAGTATCTCAGGGTGAATACTTTCCATTCCAACCTTCCTCCTTCCAGGTTATTGAATTTTAATGAGAGGACCAGCGTGTTTCCCTGCATTTTTCTGACCATAAAAATGGTCAGATGTGTTCTAAGATTTGATCTCAGTACTGTCATTCTTTAAATAACTTTTTTTTCCTAAATAACTGCAGGTATGCTGCAAGTGGAATATAAAGAAATTATATGATTTAATAGCTGTGGTGATCTGGGTCATGGTTTGCAAGAACTTTGCATCTTGTGGAGGTCAGCAGGAAATATTAGGTGACTGCAGTTCTTAGCAGAACTGCTTAATAAACTACAGCTCTTAAGAGAATACTTGGGGTTTAAATATCTGGTGTTTACTTCTTGGTTCCAGTGGAATTGGTTTTCTTCTGTGACAAATAAGGCTTTTGAAAAGATATTCAGGTCTGCTAAAGGTTTTGTAACAGACCTGCCTAAATAGTGCAGAGTCTTTAGTCCAACGAGAGATTTGCTTTGTATTTTTTTAAGCAGAGCTGTTTAGAGACTCTCAATAAACTCGTAAATGCTGGGTAAATTCTATCCAAAAGGCCACCAAAAAATCAAGAAGTCTCTTCTTAAGGATGTTCTAAAGGAAATTTGATGGCCTCTGGAGAAAATCAGCTTCAGTATGTCACACTAGTTTTTAACATTGCTTCAGACTCTGATCAGGATCAATGATTTTTCTGATAAACATCCAGCTCCGAAGGAGACTGTGGTTTTTTTTTTTTTTATTTTAAAAACAAAGCCTGACTTTGATCTCCTTTTTGAGTCCAAAACTCAGGTTGCATTCCACTGGCCTTCCACCAAGGAGGGGTTACCAGTTAACACAGGTTTTGGAAGGCAAACCTGCCCTGTGCCCATCTCTGGCTGAGGAAAGAAACACTGAGTACTGAGGCACCCACTGAGGTTATGATGTTCTGTGCTACTTTTCAAGTCTCATTTTAATTTTATATTTACTGAAACCAAATATTTCAGGTAGAAAACAATCCTAAAATCTCAAATATATTTCTTTTTCTATTTCATATCTGAATATGTGCTTATATAGGTATGTTGAAATAAATTTAGTACAGAAGAAAAACAGGATTTAAAAATCTGGAGAGCTCACTCCTTGAGAAACCACATTTTTAAACATAAAGAAGCTTTGAAAGTGCTTCTGCTTTCCTACATCCAAGCTAATTGACACCATGGAGTTTTTACCACAGATTTGCAGAGAAGGATCAGTGCTCAGAATTTTCCTAAATTCTCCATCCATGCCTGCCCAAGGAAGGATTTGCAGTCCCAAGGGAAAAGGTCTCAGAACTCCTGATGCCATGTGCCAGGATAGTGGCAGGAATTTTTCATGGTGAAAAAATCTTAGGAGGTGCTTTTGTCTGAGCTGGTGAAAGGCAATCTCCTGGGCTGAAAAACAGCATCTTTCTGGAAAGAAAAGAGAGGACAGGGGAAAGGACCTGGGTTTAAATAACTAATAATGGCCAGTGGATTTTTTCCAGGAAGTGGGAATAAAGATAAGGTAAGTACACATCAAAGCTCTGTCAGGTCACATAACGCTGGTAACACACTTACCTTAATGTACTGCTGAGTGTCACCGTCCCTGCTGCTGGCACACCCAAATACAGTGTGAAATGCTCTGTTCTCACTGAGGAGTAAAACGTAACGCCACTATCGCAGCTGTAGCTGGAAAATGCATTGGAACTACTGAGAATTACTCCTGGCAGGAAAATTAATCCACAAACACCAGAGGTTCATGGCCAAAAAGGAGGCAGAGGAGCCCTTTTACTTTATTTAAATAAAGGGAGAGGCTATGGGGCATTCTCCTGGGATCTCTCCAATTTTAGGAGGACACAGCCTCCCTTTTTATCCCAATTTCCAGCCACATTTTCCCCTTTCCCCATTGGCTGAGGTGCTTGGGAGGTACAGACTTCCCCAAACACCTGATACCTAAGACTCCCTTCTAAGATATCAACCCCCACCTTTCTCTTTCCTTGTGTCAACTAGTGGAATTCCTTGTCACAGACATGTTTTCTGAAAAATCCTTTCCTTGGATTTTTTCCTCCTGAGAAGCCGAGAGGCCTCAGGAACAAAATGTAAGCAATGGTTATCTGCTGCTGTGGAATGCAACAGGTGCATCTGGGATTGGTCTCATGTGGTTGTTTCTAATTAATGGCCAATCACAGTCAGCTGGCTCAGACTGTCAGAGACACAAGCCTTTGTTATCCATTCTTTCTTTTTCTATTCTTAGCCAGCCTTCTGATGAAATCCTTTCTTCTATTCTTTTAGTATAGTTTTAATGTAATATATATCATAAAATAATAAATCAGCCTTCTGAAACATGGAGTCAGATCCTCATCTCTTCCCTCATCCTCAGACCCCTGTGAACACCATCACAATTCCTTATGGAATTTATGGTTCTTCCTGTTGTTTCTTTCATCTCTCAGTATCCAGTTTTATTTACCAGCAGACCTACACTTTGTTTGTAAAGACAAATCTCTCTCATTCCATTCATCAGTCAGTGGAATCCTTCCCATTGTTTCTTTTATCTCTCAGTATCTAGCTCTGTTTACCAGCAGATCCACAGTTTGTTTGTGAAGTTCCTCATTCCTTTCACTCCGAATTCTCCTGTGGTTTTGGTTCTAAAAGGTGATGGCAATGTTTGCTTTTTCAATATATAATCACATTATTTATTCCAAAATATGGCAAAATTATGTTTATTTATTATGGACAAAATATGCTGTGTAAATTCATCAATGAAACTTGACTGTGACTACAGTTCCACAAATCCAGAATTTTCTCCTTTTCTTGGTAGGAATGGAAGAATGTTTTTATGTTGTCTTGGGAAAGAAGCTGAAACTACTTCATGGTTTCAGTTTACCAACTGGAAGATCTGGAAGGTTCTGTAACTGGAAGGCAGGAGCAATATAACAAAGTCAGGATGCTCTGTCAGCATTTTCAGGGGAAAATAGCAACTTTATATTGTCAAGTGGGAAAAAGGATAAATTGGCATAGGTAGAGTTACTGTACTAGACTAAAATGAAATAATTTCTTTCAGCTGTTAATAAAAAAGAGAATCAGCTTGGAAGGAACTGGAGGGAAGCACCTGTCTAATCATAATTCTGTTTGTACAACACTTGGCACATTTGCAAATGGGTTTACTTTTGCTGATCTGAAACAATTCCAGTATTTTACTCTCCAAGTATGTCAAGTGGGTTCATATGTATTTAAAATATGTTCATAAGTATTTAATATAGCCTGTAACAGGATTTTTGTTATGCCAGAAAATTGTTCCTGAGCCACAGAAGGACTTTTTCATGCATGGGATATAACTTTTACTCAGTTCTCTTCCTGTGAAAATTGAGTATGGAGAATCTGATTAAATGTTAGTTCATTTCAAGTTTAACAATGTTATTCATTTAAAAGTCATATTTTAATGATGTGCAAATGGCAAATTAAGTGTAGCAATTCTGAACAAGGCCTTAGGAGTGTCACTGTCAGGGTGCTGCCCTTTGAACCATGTATTAAAACCTACTCTAAAACAAGAGCTGTGAAAATGGGCAGCAGGTGTGGCAAAAGTGCAGCTCTAAGACATTCCCAAGTCACTTTAGTAGAAAAACAGACCAACATGGAGAGTTTTGGAAATCTTGCTTCTGTTTCTAAGAATTACCAATACAATACCTTTTCCTTGTGAAATTTTTACAAGCTCTTAAAACATACTCAATAGGGCAATTAAAAACAGATGAGGGTAATATTGTAAATATTAAATCAGTTCTGAGATTGTATTTGCATATTAAGAGATGCTTATATTAAAAAATATGGCATGAAAGGCTTCATTTTCCAAACCTGCCTTTAAAAGGTGAAAAGCTGAGGGTATGGCCGTGTTCCCTGCTCTTCCAGAGCCTGCACACCTGCAGATTGGAGCTTGTGTGGAAACCAGAGGAGTGTGGGTGCCTGTCTAACTTACCTGAAGAGGGATTTCAGACCTGACATTTCAAATTAGAGTTTTTTTTTTTCAATTTCAAGGAACATAGGGGACAGGACTGGTGTAGTGATAGACCACCCCCATGAAAATTTCACATATTAATAAAGTTATTTCAGACTGTACTTAAAAAGAGTTTCTGGTTGTTATGTTGAGGTATGGAGTCTTAGAATAATCAAGTTGAAAAACCCAGGAGAATGAAAGGATTCAAAGGTGTAGCTCTTGTTAAATCTCTGGGCAGAGACCAAAAGATAGTGTGCTGTTGAGAATAGCTCTGTTAATCAGTGTCTTAAAGACTCTGACATGCTGAAGTTGTATCTTGATGAACTGATAAGGCTGCTGCACTTGAAGGGAAGGAATTAAAGTACATCCTAAAATCCTGCTTGCATATGTATTACTGAGCTACTTTGGTGGTTTCCCATAATCAGGGAAATGTAGTCTGAGTGCACTGAGGTTCTGCCAGTGCTCTGATCTGTAGATTTTTTAGCTTTGCACTGTGCTGCAGAATCTGCCTTTGAAAGCTGTACTGTCCCTGACCATCATGGTGTGATAGAAGTGCTGTCCCCACCCTCTCCTGAATAAAGCCATTCCTCCTCACCCTGTAGGAAAACGCTGCAGAAACCTTTCTAGACACAAACATTATGAATTTCTTTTAGTATTTTAACTTGGTTTTCTGCTCTTTTTGTTAACTTTGATCAAAGCCAATAATGAAATAATTAGAATTAATGAAATAATGAAATATTTCATGTAGTATTAGAAATAATGAAATTCTTCCTTATTTCCAATACTACACAACTATGATAGTTACACGGTTTTTGTATTGTTACAGTTTTCTTGGTACCATTTGTGTTTTCTTATGAAAATGAATCAATGAAGTATACCATCTGGTATAAGGACATCCTTGCATCTTAGAAAGTCAAGATGCTTCCTCATGAGAGAAAGTACAAGCCACACTTTCTTTTCAGCTTGGACCATACTCCACCTGGCAATTTAGGGAGAATTCACTGAAACTTGTCATTTTAATTTTAACTAGCACTGTCTTGCTGCTCACTTGTTTTGTGGCATGGTGTATCTGTGCTGAACACCAAGATGTTAACTTAAAGTTGCACTACATTTTGTCTTGAGAATGAACAGCCTTTTCTTCAACTAGCAAAGTTGTATTTTAGGCTAGATTTACATTATTAACAGAACAAGTAGAAAATATGCAGTTGTCATTTCTATGACCTTAAAAATACACTAATATTGAAGACAGCAAACATTCCATTACAGCTTGTGCTGCTGGAAAGTCAAATTCAGGCACCAAGTTTTCTTTCTTGGATGAGATAAGATTCTTATCACTGACATTGCTGCTGAATTTCATTTTCAGTAGGGGATGAAGTTTTCACATCACAATAGCTAAAATCATGTCCATACACTAGGTCCTTCTGAGAGAGTGGTTCATGAACTGTGACAGCACTCCATGTGTTCTTCCTCAGGGATTTCTGTAAGAGTTCTCTCATTCTCTTGTTTTCTTTGGCTGTGGATTGCCACATGATTTCAAGTTCCCCTTCTGTTTTCCTAGGAAAAAAAATGAAGATAAATTTTAACTTTAACAATGTTTCAGCAGTAAAGAAGTACAGTATGTGGATAAACAAATTAGAAATAGCCTGTATTTAGGTGCCTGATTGGAATTCATTCCTTTTTTGCTTTTGAAAAAGCTCATTAAATGTAATGCTGTATAGGATATGACCAGAAAACCACCCATTATGTACCAAGTTGGATTAAATCTGCACACAGAGCAGTGCATGTGAGACCCAGATATTGTGAGTGTCCCTCCTGCACTGAGGCTCCCTGGTGAGCACAGCTCTGCCCCTGGTCACTGCCCAGAGCACTGTGCCACCCCTCTGAGCCCCAAGGCTCTGCTCAGTGCCAGCCTCTGTGCTCAGCTAATGCATCTTTGGGGCAGCCAAACCAAAGTGATATCAACTCCGAAGGCAGACAAAGCCCAAGAGCTTGGGTTTCCTTTGGCTCCTAGTGTATGTCAAAATACAAAATAATAAGGAAATGAAGATCAGTTGATGTGAAAAGCACAGCTGATGCATGGAAAATGAGCACACATTTTAATACAGAACCAGAGGACACAGGCTCAAGCTGTGTCAAGGGCAATACAGGTTGGATATAAGGAAAAAGTTTATTACAGAAAGGGTGATAAAGTTCTGGAATGGCTGCCCAGGGAGGTGGTGGAGTCCCCATCCCTGGGTGTGTTTAACAAAGCCTGGATGTGGCACTGGGTGCCAGGGTTCAGCTGAGCTGTTGGGGCTGGGTTGGACTTGATGATCTTGAAGGTCTCTTCCAACCTGGTCATTCTGTGAATTTGTGTATCTGAACTCTCCTTGGAGGACTACTTTTTAAGCAGAGCTGAGAGATGCAGAGGCAGAGTGTGCAAACTGGCTTTGCAATGAGCAGTCAGAGCACACTGCAGTCCCAGGTAAGGCTCTGCAGTGTGGCACCACTACACCACTTGCAGTCTGGGACTTCACAGTTCAGCTCTTTCCCAGCTCAGCATCTGACAAGAAGCAGTAGCATCTCAAGTGTAGTTACACAAGGGGATTTTGTTTGAAAATTTTGACCTGATTGAAATTTAAAAATGCATTCATTGCTTAGGGAGAGAGTGTCTTCTTGCTAGTCACAACCTCCCTTCCCTCCCTCAAGGAATCTGGATTACAGAGCAGCTTGGTTGCTACAGCTGCTGATGCTCTGTGCATCTTTCTCAACACCAAAATTTCCTTTTCTCTACAGCTGGTTTGCCTTTTGAAACACAAGTCTTTGCCACTTGGCATTTAAAACTAGATACATGTGCTGTTTCCAGATGCCTTTAGACAAAAGGCATTACATTCATTTCTTATTAATGTAGGCTATTATTAATTAAATAAGTAAAAATAAAAAATTAATTCAACACCTAACCTAGCCAAAATGAAGGATTTTATAACTTGTTAAGAGTAAGCAAAATTCCAGTGCTCCACTGATGTTTGAGGATGAAAAAATTATTAAATGTAGGTTCTGAAAGATTCCTCTTTAAAAAAGACATGCCCTCATTGAACTAAATTCATCCATCCTTAAATCTCAGAATCTAATTTGGGCTGGCTCAGGAATTCATTGTCATCTCTCCTGTAACAGTTTATTTATATATTCCTTATCACCAAGGTTTTTATTATGGTTATAATTTCGTATGTCACCTCAGAGATAAGAGAGCTCCTCCCCCTTGCCTGTGCACAACTGCAAAGCTTTTCTGCTGTGGAGCCTCTTCCAAGGACAGTTTTATGCACTTTTCAAACTTACATTCTGCATCCAAAGCACAGCAGCTGTGACTACCTTGAGGTATTGTTTCTCTGCAGAAGTTTTATGAAATAAACTCTGACCCAGAAAACTCATAAAGGTCAATGACCTGTCAAATAAGACCAGAAACATCTAGGAACTTGTTTTTAACCTTAGGTTCACATCATGAACTTTGTTTATATCTCAAACCTCTTATTTAAGGAAAGGTTGTAATATTGATATCTCTTACAGTTACTCAGTGACTAATAAAGATTGCATTATCAGTTGCCTGAAAACCAAAATGCTGTTGCTTTCTCATTAAGGGTTGCTGGGAATTTGCAATCTTGTCTAGCAAAGGCTGTAATTACTGATAAGGCTCTAAAGAGCAGCTTCCAGTAAGGGAAATCTGTTTATCTTTAAAAGCTTTTATTTATCAAAAGTACAACTATATCTATATGTGTTTCTTCTGAAAACCAAGTAGAAAAATTCTCATCCCTTGGATGCAATGGGTAAGTAGTGGAACCCTGATTTTTCTTATGAATTTAAAGAATGCAGGAGGGGAGAAAATTTCAAAGGCAAGTAATCTCTATTATATTTGCTGAAAGCCCATGCCAGTTTGGAGTACACTTGTTAAAAAGAGGAGAGAAGCAGCATGGATACATTTCTTTGTCTACTTGTGAGCATGCTGTGACTGCAGTGTAGGAGTGATGGGGGTAGGACAGTCAGGATGGATGGAGATGAGAGATCTCTGAAACCAAGTTTTGGAACTTGGGGTTTATTGCAAAGGGCCTGGGTGCAGGGCCCTGCTGGGAGCTGCAGCCACAGAGAATAAAGAGAGTGGGAAAGAGAGAGAAGGCAGGAGCGTGGTAAAGAGGATGAGAGAGTAAAAGAGGTAAAGGGTAAAAGAGAATAAGAGAGTAAAAGAGGGTAAGAGTGAGGTTCCTGTTACAATACCATAAATGTTCTTCTGTGTTGAATATCCTAATTCTCACTAACCAATCTAGTACAAGATACAAATCCTATAGCATTTACATACAGCCTATAAGAATCACTACATTACTGTACTGTGTTACATTTTAAACCCTAAAAACTCCTCTTCGGGCCCTTCTGCCGAGCTGTAGGGTCTGCTCTGACCCTTGGGCCTGTCTGCAAGCAGAGGGAATTGTTCCATCAAAAGGGGATTACCTTCAGCTGGCCACACCATTGTTCTCCAGCTGTTCAGTAACTGAGGTATCTCAAAGCTTGCTTTCATTTCAATCTCACTTACAGTTTCTATATTCTCAAAATCCTTTGCCAGGCAATCACATTGATAAGGCTTTGCTGTTTCACCTTCCCCAGAAGTGCAGCTGCTGTGCCTGTGGGCACACAGGGGCTGGGCAGGGCCCTGTTTCACTGGGCTCCTCCTCAGCTTCTGCTCATCCCTCTGCAGGCTCTCACTGAAAGCACCAGGCTCTTTCCAGATCCAAACTGGGATTTCACTTTGCTGTTCAAGAGAACTTAGCAGCAACAACAGGTACAGTATGCTTTTATGATAAACAATTTCATGGTGGTAGTTAAGACAGACTTGCCCCAGCTTCCTGACTCCATATTATTAAACTAAATGCATGAGCAAAATAAATGATATTAAATAGTTTTCTGTCTTCACCTGCTTACAGTGATTCATCATATCTCCAGCTAGATTTTAAAGTAAACTGGCTTTTCTGCTTAAAATGTCGCATGCTACTCTGATTTTCATTATGTAACAGTGAAATTAGAGAATAAATATTGATTGTATGCACTTATCTTAATGTCTGTGTAGGCATTTTGCACAGAAACATTATCAGCTACACAGTATTCCGGACTAAAAATCTACTCTGTAAACACAGCTAGTCACAATAAATTGAAATGTTTGGTACCCTCCTAGCACTAAGGGACTTTAGTTGCTAAACTACAGATGATGAGCAACATCTGAACTACAAATAATTTTCCCTTCCTTACTCCTGTGACTGTGTGAAGGGAGAAAGAAAATAATAAACCTTGTAAAATCATTAAAAAAAATCAGAAAAAGCAGACTAAAAGACATGTTTAGCTGATAGGCATAAAAGAGTAGATACACATTTGGATTACCTTGGGAAACTACTTTATATTGCAGTACTTGAGAAGAATAATGGAATATGAAGAAATTAGTTCATGTGAATTGTATCAGCCATGGTGTTAGTTGGTTTATTGATTTTGTTTCATAAGCATAAAAACTTAATATTTCTTATAGAGTTGTAGAATTTAACTGACTGCTTAGTAACATTTAAAAAATTTTAATCTACATTTTTTAATACAGTAATCAAAGGAAAACAGCAAATGATGAGGTTAACTAAAATACTACTTGGAAGATTACAGTAAAAATTCTTTTTTACTTCTAGACTTGTGTTCATTATATTATATTCTAATAATTACAGTTAAGATTTAACTACCACCAGAAAAAAGCAGTCACTCATTACACCACTCAATAATGCTGGAGACTACAGAAATGAAAGACTAATCTTGATGGGATTAATCTTGGGCTTGTTTCCATAAACCATTTTTCTTCATCATCCTACAATTAAATGGACTACAGTGATGCAGTTCCAGGTGCAGATCCTGATTCTTAAAAGGAAGCTGCAAGTATTAATTGTGTGTGTTTACTGAAAAATAAAAGGAATTATTTTGGACTGAAAAGGTAAAAGTGATTTAGTGTACTGTATGGAAAGTGTAATTAATTATTTTACACATCTGTGCAGCATTATCTAATTTGTCTGCTTTGGGGCTTGAAGGGTAAATTTTGAATTATCCATATTGTGGGATTTCAAATTTTGCTCTATCCTACACTGAAAAAAAAACCCTCTTGATTTAATTGTTGTTCTGTACAGTAAAAAAAATGTACCATGAGCCCAGAGATATGAAAGCCATTTAACAGTTTAAAATCCTAAGCAAATATTTTCAGAGAAATGTGAATCAGTTCAATCTGTTTTTTAATGTGAATTTCAGAGATTAATGGAATCTTCATTGTACAACTTTGCTACTTCCACCTGTTTAATTGCACTGTACAAAGTAACTGAGAGGGACCGCACTGATACAAGGCAGATGATACCAAGCCCTGTTTTTCTATTGTCTGTTAAAATCTATTTAAATCTATTATTTCACAATGGCAGTGATGACTTGAGAAATGACTGCTTATTACTTTTCTTTAGTTGTAAACTGAAACTGGGTTTTTTTATGCTGATAATGCAAATGTGCTATGAAGCTTTCCACTATCAGAGGGAAAAATACTTTTAAAGGACTCTCTATTTAAAGGATATCTCAACACTGCAGTCATAATCTTCTATAAATCTGTTCCATTTTCTTCTCTTTATTTTGCACATAGCCAGTCCAAATCACTTGTTAACAGATCAGTAAGACAGACTCAAAAGAAAACAGATCTTTGGTGTACTGATCAGATTCCCTTCATTTCCTACTATTCTGAAAACTGAGGGGTATGAATGGGGAAGTGTTCAGCCTTTAGCAGAAGGTCCTATTAAAATAAATCAACATATATTTTGATTTACAGAATCCTTTCAAATTATCAAAGATTCACACAGATTGATACCTTTCTCAGACTCATACCCTTCTTAAGAAGTTTTAAGAACAGCAGCAGCCATTCAGAAAAAATTCCTCCTTCCAAAGACCTTTCTTTGGAGAGCTGGCAATCACGAGCAGGGTTTCAAGCATTCTCATTTTCATGTCACAGGAGATGGTTTGTTTCCAGCTCTGCTGGAAAGCAAGTGCTGGTGGCTCTGTGCAGGTGCTTTCCTGTCACTGACATATTTTATGAAAATCCTTTTGCTAGGATTTTTCTCCTGAGAAGCCTCAGAAAAGAAATGCAAACAGTAACTATCTGATGGCTGTGGGATGTGGTCTGGAGATGCTTTTCCAACAGGTTCATCTTTGATAGGTTGCATGTGAATTGTTTTTAACTAATGGCCAATGACAGCCAGCTGTGTCGAGGCTGTGAGCAGTCACAAGATTTTTCATTATTATTCATTCTTTTCTAGCCTTCTGATGAAATCCTTTCTCTATTCTTTAGTATGGTTTTAGTATATCATTCTCGTAATGTAATGTAATGTAATGTAATATATCAGCCTTCAGAAACATGGAGTCAAGATTCTCATCTCTTCCCTGGGGACCCTCAAACACCACCACACTTTCCCTTGTCCCTTCCCCTGCCTGTGCCCCCCTCACCTGTTTTGCTCCAGCACCTCCTTGAGGGTTTCCTGTTTGTCTTGCAGCAGTTGCTGCAGGTGCTTCTTTTCTTGCTCATACTGAGCAGTCTTCCTTTCAAATTCCTTCTCCTGCTCACTCATCTTGAGGTGGATATCTCCAAGCTTCCCAGCTGCTTTCTTTTTATATACCTGTAAGGGTTAAAGTTAATAGATAAAAGTGGGATTATTGGAGAAATAAGGACAAGTCATTCCCAACAAAAGAAAGAGTTAGAGATACTGATTTTCAGATTTTCAGTTGAATCTTTACATCAATGCTCAATTATGCCAGGTAGGTTGCACTATGGGATTTTTTTAACCTATTTGTTAATTTGAAAGTATTAAACTTAATTTTGTTCTGCATATAAAACTACTGTGTACAATGAATATCACACTGTATGTTTGTTTTATTACCTGCAACAAAAGGTTTGTTTTCCAAGATACAAAGCTGCACTTACAGCACAGGTTGCTTACCAATCACACTTACAGTACATCCCATGAAAAAGTGTTTCTGTTTTGTTAGCTGTTTAATCTCAGTAATTAAGAGGAAGAAAAGAATACCTTTGCTTGCTGCTTCATGTATCAGTCCTCTTGTTCAGTGAAGCACAAGTGATTTTTTGATTAATGGCTATAGTAACTAAATGATAACTAATGACTGGTCTCATCTCAAAAATAAGAAATTAGTAACTTTGCTTTCTCAACTAACATACTCATTAAGTTGCATAAGCACACAAGAAAGTGAAAACTGGTTTGTGTATTGTTACACATTTCTAGATGCTGCTGCTCTTGACGATACCAAAATCCAATATTAACTTAATTTTCTCATGATTACAAATAGAATGCTAAAACTGTTATTTTTCTCTGCATATTGTGATGTTTCCTACAGGCTACAGAACAGAGTTTTGAGATAGAAACACCTCCTTTAATAAAACTGTAAACTAATTTAGAGAAGCTTTGAAAATACTGCTAATATAAAGTTTTATTTCAGGTGCTAATCCCTAAGGCTTTATCCTCATCTGAATCAGGAGAGAAAAATCTGAGTTTCCCTTTTGGGAGGAATTTAAAAAAAGCCATTTTTAGACATGCTGTATATAAGACTATATAATCCTTCCCACAAGGTGTTTCCTTTTAACACTTGCAAAATGTGTCATTGTGAAGTTTAATTTCCTAGAGGTAACAGGATAACAATAGGTAATATTTACCTAGGATATCAGTAATTCAATCTTTAAGGCTGACTTACATAGGGTTTTTGTCCTATTTTTTCCCTGACAGTTCTAATAGAAGAATAAGAAGCCTGAAAGTTAACCAGTACCCAGAGAAGCCTCCAAAATGCAGAGTAACGTTATGGAAGGCTACAAGTAAACAAGTTCCTTCTGAAGAGAAGGCTGCTCAGAGCCAGCCTGGAGGAAGTGCAGAGTGTAGGAAACAGCTGAACCTTCCCCTGTGGCAGTAAACGGCCCAGCACGTGCCAGGCCCAGCCAGGTGTGACTGAAATGCCCTCTGCAGATTAGATGCCCATAATAATTTCAAAGAACAAAAGCAAACTTCCTCTCTCTGCTTTATCACAAGGAAGGAAGGCTGGTGAATTGTAGCACTGGTGAAACCCTGCTTTCCATCATGTGCTGACCATCTGAGGTGTGTGTTTTCAGCTGCACTCTGTCCTCCCCAGCCCACAGCTGCCTCTGCTGGCTCTGCCTTTGCCAACTGCAGCTGAGTCCCGTGTGCAGAACGGTTGCAAAATCAGAGGGAAAAAGTGCACATTTTTCTTATGATTATAGTCTGAAACTAGGTATGAGTGCTACTCTGTTCTGATCGATTATAAGTCTGTAAAATGCAGCATGGGCAGCTTGGGCACACTGACACAGGCAGCTGCTGGCACTTACAGATCCTTCACACCTTTGAATTGTTCAGGATAACCTATTACTGTGAAGTGAAGCAGGTAGCAGCAAACAGACTGGTGGAGGTGACAGTTTTCAGGAAGAGGATGGTAACACATAGCTGGAAATCATAATATTTCCCTCCAGAGATGGTCATGGCACCCCATGTACGTAGCAAGCAGGATAAGGAATGATCATAGATGCAGGTGGTGGTACTGAAGGGGACATAATTTACTCCTAGGTGGTAAAGAGACAGTAAAACAGACTGCAGATGATGTAGAGGAAATATGTATACATGGTATTTTTGGGTCAGGGTATACATTATGCTGTCATTCTGGGTCTCCTAGGAGGCCCTTGGCTCCTGGGTTGGTCACAGAGATCTTGGAAATGGATGATTTTGTTGCAGTCATGGAAAGATAGGTTCTGGACACATAACCAACCTTCCTGGGGATATTAATCTCCCTGATTTTTGGCAGCACTTTTGTGTGAGTGGCAGTGTGTGCAAGTCATCTCCTGAGTTCACAGCTGAGCAGAGAAGTGTGAGGAAACTGAAACAGCTTCAGACAAAAGCCAGCACAAATTTGGGCACATTTCTCTCTCCTCTGCACACAGATGAACTTATGAGTGTGAAACAGAATCCAGTGTTTCCTGACCAGTAAGATGAATGCATTTCCTTTCAATTTTGGTTATACTTTCTGTATTCTATGCAAACATGGTTAACTCTGGGAAATAAGCTACATAGTATACAAAATAGTGACATACACCAGAATAATTTAGAGATTCTTTCTATACATCAGCTAACATCACAAAGTGTGAAACATTTTGAACACAGAAATGAAGGGAATACAGGTGTTGCAATATTATATGCTGTACTACCTGTGCCCTTGTATTTCCTGAGTGGTAACTTGGGACAAAAACAGAGGTGAATTCCTGCCCTGAAAATTAAAATATTTAGGGAAAAAATAATCCATTTTTAGGACTGACAGAACAATGGAAGCAGTTTCTTAAGTGGCTGCATTTAAAAAACCAGCAATGCTCCATGAATTTTCAAGGGTCTCATACTGGAAAAATCTAGAGTCTAACAAAGCTGAATGAATACTCTGGATAGAAAAGCCATGTATGCAGCAAGACTTCAATCAACCCATGGTATCCAGACACAAAGCACCTTTCCCTAAGTCCAGATTAATGTTGACAGGAACATGGCAAAGGAACACTGGTGATAGGAACATTGTCTCCTTCAAATGTGCTGGCATAAACAACTGCCTATACAAAACAGCAAGTTCTGCAATGAGTACATGCAGTTCTAAATACACTGCTCCTCAGTGATCAGGAAGTGCTAGGAACAAATCTTTATTGCTTTCTCTTCATCAATCACCATTTTGTACTCTAAATGCAATAGGGAGCAAGAGGACAGGAAAAAAATTAAAGCCAAATTAGCAAACTTGCATGAAAATGAGGGCAGTTACAGCAGGAGATGGTAGATGTCTTCAATACAAAGGTTGTTTCTGTTTTTACTAAAACCTCATGACTAACAAAATTATTATCAGATAGAGATTCAGAATGAATGAACTTCTTGTAACTCTTTTTATCAACAGTGTGTGTGCATAATTTAAAGATTAATTACATTTGCAGTAAAGGAAAGGAAAAGGTGTGTAATGATGAACTGGATGCAAATTCTGTTATCAGAGATTTACTATTCACAGTTGTAAGTCCAAAACCCTGGATTGTTTTCATAGACTTTCTACTAGAAATGTTTGACTAAAATACTTCATAAAAAGACAGATTTTTCTGTGTTAGCTGTCCCTTTTGCACGAAGTTGAAGGACTCCCTGATGAGACAAACATGTCCAAGCTCATATTAAAAGAGAACAGTGCAGAATTCTGACTGTAAAGAAACAGTTTTAATACCAGAAAGATTGGCTTCCTCAAATTCTTGCCATGGATCATCAAACTGCTTGGTAATTACAATTATGAACTACAAAGAACTCCCAGGGAACCCCAGCTAAAGTACTACCTCAGGTTATCATGCTGAGCCCAGCCAAAGTACCTCAGGTTATGCTGACCATGGCACGAGTCAGTATCTCTCAGTTCACAGGATCACAGAATGAATTAGGCTGAAAAAGACCTTTGTGATCATGAAGTCCAACCCATGACCTAACACCTCCTCATCAACTAAACCATGGCACTGAGCACCACATCCAGCCACCTTAAACAGCTCCAGGGAGTGACTGCAGCGCCTGCCTGGGCAGCCCACTCCAATGCCCAATCACCCTTTGTGTGAAGAACATTTCCTAATGTCCAGCCTAAACATCCCCTGGCACATCTTAAGGCTGTGTCCTCTTGTCCTGTCACTAAATGCCTGGGAGAGAAGAGTGACCCTCACCTGAGCACAGGCACCTTTCAGGCAGAGAGTAAAAAAGTCACCCCTGAGTCTCCTTTTCTCCAGGCTGAGCACCCCCAGCTCCCTCAGGGGTTCCTCACAGGGTTTGTGTTCCCAGCCCCTCTCCAGCCTCGTTGCCCCCTCTGGACATGTTCAAACATCCCAAGGTCCTTCCCAAGCTGAGGGCCCAGACTGGACACAGCACTGGAGGTGTGGCCTCAGCAGTGCTGAGCACAGGGAAGGATGATCTCCCTGCTCCTGCTGGCCACACCATTCCTGATCCAGGCCAGGAGCCATGGGCCTCCTTGGCCACCAGGGCACTCTGCTGGCTCACGTTCAGCTGCTGTTGGCCAAAACCCCCAGGTCCCTTTGTGCCTGGGCACTGCCCAGCCACCCTGTTCCCAGCCTGAAGGGGGTTTTGTGGCCAAAATGCAGGACTGGGCACTTGGACTTGTTAAACCTCACCTTGTTGGACTTGGCCCATCTATCCAGCCTGTCCAGGTAGGTCCCTCTGCAGAGCCCTCCTACCCTCCAGCTGACCAACACATGCTCCCAGCTTGGTGTCATCTGCAAATTTACTGATGGTGGACTCAATCCCCTCATCCAGACCTTCATGGAAGATCCTGAACAGGAGTGATCAGTGCCCCAGCACGGAGCCCTGAGGGACATCCCTGGTGCCTGGCTGTAAGCTGGATGCAGCACCATCCCCACCACTCTCTGAGCCATCCAGCCAGGTCTGAGCCCAGCACAGAGAGTGCTCATGTCCTGTTGGGATCTTTAGCTGGTCAGAGTGACCCCAAGAAAAGAAAAGTCTCTTTTCCCAGTCCAGTGCTTGAAGAAGCAGTCAGGGCTCTTCATTTCTCAGTCTCAAGGTTGTTTATTGTTCCTTATCTATAAAATTCTTTCTCCTGCCCTGCCCAGGTCCATCCAGCAGGACAGTTCCAGGCACTCTGCCTGCCCCCAGGGCAGTGTTATGGCTTTACACTAAAAACTACATGTGCAATGTTTACAATTACTGTCCAATACCTATCAACTGTGTCAGACAGTGAGCTTCTACTCTAAACCAATCTGTAAGTGCCACCATCACAGCAGAAGATGGAAGCCAAGAAGAAGAAGGAGAAAGGCTGGACACACCCAGATCCCTCCATCTTACCCCCCAGAATCCCCATTCTAAAATCCCCAAAATTGACTTTCTCACCCTGTGATAAATGCACTATAATTCTGCTTAATTTGTCTTGCCTTGCAGATCTTCATTTAAGGTTGGTAATTTGCTCCATGGGTCATAATCAAACCCACAGGGGCATCCTGGGCTCTGTACCAGGGTCTCTGAGCCCCCTGGCAGGGTCTGGGCTGCCAGAGGGATGTTCTGAGTCCTGACACTGTCCCAGGCCTGGGCTGCAGCTTTTCCATGAGTGAGCTGTGTGAGACAGTGAGACAAAGGCCTTGCTGGAGTCCAGGTAGAAACATCCCCAGCCTTCCCCACTGTCACAAACACATTTTATGAAAAATCTTTTTCTTAGGACTTTTTCTCTTGAGAAGCTGAGAGGCCGCAAGAACAAAATGTAAACATTGATTATCTGCTGCTGTGGAATGCAACAGGTGCATCTGTGATTGGTCTCATGTGGTTGTTTCTAATTAATGGCCAATCACAGTCAGCTGGCTCAGACTCTCAGTCAGTCACAAGACTTTATTATAATTCCATTATTTTCCTTTGCTTGCAAGCTTTCTGATGAAATTCTTTCTTCTATTCTTTTAGTATAGTTGTAGTATATAATTTTCATTAATATAATATATGTATCATAAAATAATAAACCGGCCATCTGAAACAGAGTCAACATTCTCATCTCTTCCCTCGTCCTGAGACCCCTGTGAACACCCCACCCCACATCCACAGGTGGGTCACCTGGTCCCAGGAGATCAGGTTGGTCAGGCAGGTCCTGCCCCTCCTAAGCCCACGCTGGCTGTTTCTGATCCCTGGCCATCCTGTGGGTGCCCTGGGATGGCACTCAGGGTGATCTGTTCCATAACCTTGCTGGGCACCCAGGTCAGGTTGACAGGCCTGGAGTTCCCCAATCCTCCTTCCAGCCCTGCTTGGGGATGGGCTCACATTGGCACCTCCAGTGCTCTGGGACCTCCCTGCTGAGCCAGGACTGTTGGTTTTGTTTTTTTCAAAACTTTTGAAGATAATCCATACATAAGTCTTTCACATAACATTGGCAGAGATTAACTACTTTTCTCATTAAAAAACCCCAAACATTTCACAATAGATATTTATCTTAGAAACACTGCTTACCTTTACTTTTTCTTCCAATCTTCCTAAGCGCAGGCTGCCTTCTATAATTTTCTTGAGAACACCCTGATTCTCATTTTCCAAACATCTGGCCTGCAACCATGCAGTAAACAAAGCCACATGTAACCATTCTGTCTGTTTGTCAGGGCAGACAAAATGCACACACTGAGGGAAGCAGCAATTCCATTTTGAACTCCAATTGTCTGAAGAACCAACATGGATAAAGAGTCCTGGAAATTATTCTCAGAACAGCTCATTAATAATTTGTCAGCTGACTGTGAATACTATGTAGCAGTGTATTAGCAGTACATTATTCTGAAATGAAACATACTGTAAACCCAACCAATTCTGTGATTTTTTTCCTACAAATCTAAGTATGCATTAGTAGGGATGCCATTTTTAAGCATGAGACTCATCCTTTAGGTCACATCTAGCAGTCTGCTCTCAAACAAGCCCTTGAAATGAGCAGGGGTTCAGGCAAGGATATTTTTAATATGGTATGATTAATATTGAAAAGCAGATATCCCAGAGATTGAGATCTAAGAATTCAGTTCCCCTAGTTTCTAGGAGATATTTATTGTGCTCAGTTTCACAATCCTGAAGTACAGTTTGTAGTGGACAAGGATTTGAGCTGTGTCACCATAGTTGTCTCCTAGAATTAGGAATTAACTGCTCTGTCAACGCTGATGACAACCTTTGTCTACTACTTGAACAAAAGTAAAAAAAGTGTTATTTTTACAAAGTTCTGTGAAATTATTTCAGATTCAATCTGAAGACAAAAGCATGTATACGAAAAATTGAAATTGTGCCCAGTATCCTGTAAAAGAAACAAAATGGGTTTACAAAAAGCCCAGAAACCGCCATGCCAGGCACTTCCACTAAAGAGAAGTTGTTCCAAAACTCTCAATCAGCCTGTCAAAATGGCTGCAAACCAACAAGGAGCAATAATATGCATCCACAGCAGACAGTCCATACAGACAAGGGTAACAGTCCACCCTTAAGACGCAAAACAAATATTAAAATTTTATGATACTGTGCTATTTTTAAATACATGTAGCTGTTTTTAAATACATGTGCTATTTTGAAATACATGTAACATCAACTTCTAAAACTAGGTTAAAAAAATCTTTTAAACTTGTCAAGTGCCATTTCAGACCCTAATGCTCATGTGAATTAAGGCTTAATTATATTACCTCCAGAAATAAGGGTAGCTGCTTTTAATTTCTCCTCTAGAAAAAAAATATTTCACTGTTCCTATGCTATTTGCTACAATCTACTTAAATAGAAATAAATCCTTGAACTGGAATTACAGCTTTATTCTTTGATAATTCAGATTAATAATAACTTGTGCCAGTAGCATGATAACTGTGTGAAATATGAGTTAAGTCACATTAATTATTTAAAGGTAATTACCAAAAATACAAGATGGTCACGTTCCTTAGCTATCTTCTCCACCAGCCCAATAAGGTTTGCTAGATAGTGATGGGCTGCAACTTCTTTTTCCATTGCTTCCTCCAGCTGCACTTGCAAAAGACCAATTTTCTTCTTTAATCGTCTGTAAAAGAAAAGGGAAAATCTTTGGATTGGGACTTAGTAATGGCCTTAAAAAACTTGTATCACACATGCAAATCAACATGTACAAGTCTCTAACAATCATACATAACTGCAAAAAATGCACTGGCTCAGAATATTTACAGTGCCAATAGCATCATGTTCTGCTTTTTCTTTACAATATGTCATCTGAATAACAACAGTAACAATGGTTCAAAAGAACAGTTTGTGCAATGGTTACAACCTCATATTTCTTAAGATATAGAATAATCATACTGTATTTTTAAAATGTTGTGAAATCCTCTCTAAGCAACCAGGTGCGTAAGAAGATCTGCAAATAGTAAAAGTCTTATTCTTTTGTAACTGCAAATTGGATATGTCTACTCATCTTATTTTCAGGTAAGTTCACCTAATGATTACTTGCTACAGCTAACTACTAACTACTAAATTAAAGATATATTCCTAATTTGCAAATAGACACAGAAAAGTGAGCATGAAAACATACAAAAATTAGTAAAACTTGACAACCAGGCCTCTAGACAGGACAAACATGTTAAGATAACATGGTTTTTTTTGCAGTAGGTAGAAAATACACATTATGCGAAGTCAGACGATTTTTACATGTATTTCTGTTGTTTTTAGAAATAAAATTATTTCTGTACAAGAAAATAAGACCATTATAAGACCTGTTTGTCTTTTGAGTCAACTGCATCTCAGTTTCCAGGATCTTCCTGTCAGCCATGAAGTTATTTTTCTCTAAGAGCAGTTTCTTGTTTTCACTTTGCAGTGATGTTATTTTTCCCATTACAGCTTCCACCTCAGAGAGCTTTTTCTCCTGCTCCTGCTGTAAACAGCTGCAAAAACCAACAGTGTAGAACAGGTATCATGTACAGATCTACATCATGGGTATCTACAAGAAGATACCCATGTTGAAGTTATGAAATAAGATACACTGAGAATGCTCAATGTTTCCTGGTGACATCAGAGAGGTATTACAATCTCATATCAAATTATTCAAGTAATTCCTTCTGACTGCACTTAATTTAAATAATAAAAATATGCTGCCCAAATGTAATCCCTTTGTGTTTCTTTTTTTTTCAAATAAATTACTATCACCACCAAAATACAAGGTCTGAGGACTTCTCAGGATGGCACTGTACCATGAAACAGTAACCAGCACTGTCCAAAGGCCTGAGAACACTCAAATTTATGCAATGTCTTCACAGAAACATTACTCTGCAGATGATGCTGCACAGCAGCACTTTTGAGTTGTGATGTTTCATGTAATTTCCATATTGTAACAATTACAGAAACTTACAACTTTTGGCTCAAAATTTCAGGATTCTTTAGACATGTTCCAAAGATGGGAACACAAGGATGAGAACATTTTATATATAGTACTGAGAGAAGCAAACAGATTTGACAAAAATGGTATTTTTAATGCCTCCTATTCCACTATTCAAAATGGTACAATTAGCAGTAGGTACTATATGGTAAAAACACATCTGCCAATATTTCTAGAACTGGGATTTTGTAATTGTAAATGTCTCTAAAAACTAAGACAGTGTTTTTTAAAGACTTCTTTCCCTTTTTTTTGTGCTTTGGTGGTTACCTTGCTGGACTACCAGCATAAGTTTCCTTCCTACAAAGTGCTGTGTGTCATGTGCACGCCTTGCACCAATGTTTCTCCATATGTGCACCATAAGTAAATTCACACCTTTTTAAATCATTCACCACAGCCAAGTGCTCCTTTTCTGGTATTCTGCTGTCCACTTTGGCTTTCAGCTCTTCACATGTAGAACACAAAGCTTCCAGCTGCTTCTGGTACTCTGCTATTTCTTCCTCTTGACTCTTGTTCTTATCTTCTAAGATTACTATTTGTTTGGTCAATTTTGAAGCTTTTGGAAGGAGGGGAAAAAAGTCAAATGTGTATAGCAGAACTAATTCAAGCACTGAGTGAAACTTCAACAAAACCATTACTACATTTATTCCTAGTTGTTTACAACATTATGTAACAGAGCGTTTGTCAGTTTGTGTTTTAACAGTTTGGACTTGACTTTTTGCTGTCTCAAGCAACTTGGTTTGGAATAGTGCAGAAACTTCAAGAGTACTTCTTTTCAAGGCTATAAGCTCACTGAAATGTCATTTTACTCTGAAAAATTCTGATTCAGTTTGAAGTGCTCTTCAATTATGCAAATGACTAGGTTGCTGTTTAACAGGTCTTCTCACTTTTTCAGAAAAAGTCAAAATTGAGTATTTTTATAGTGTCAATAGGTGATAATGACATTTTTTTAAGTATCAGTGGACATCCACAGCTTGATCTCTACTAATGTTACCTACATTCAAGGACACTTTTTAGACATATATAAGTTGCAAAAAAACCCCAGCCAACCAAAACCAAAACACTGCCAAGCTTGCCAAAACAAAAAAATGACAATAGAAAACCAATAAAAACCTACAAAAATCAAAACCTGCAGTACCACCTTTAGTGTAATTCAGATGAATAGCAGCTCAAGCACTTTTACCTTCTTGAACATGCTGTCTGTGACTATCTTTTGCTTTAGCCTGTTGAATTTTGAGTTGCTCCATCAACACTGCGTTTTCTTCCAAGACAAGCTTGGCCTGAGTTTGCAGCAGCTGCCTGCAATGATAAATGTAAATAAAATATAACTCAGATGTTATGTCCAAAGAACAAACACAACTGATTGTCAACAGTGTAAACTTAAAAAAATCATATTTGAACCTCTTTAAAAAACAGATTAAAAATCCTTAAAAATCAAAAAAAAAACTTGTTCCAACCTTCTTGTGAGCAGAAGCTAACCCAAAGTACACTCAGAGCAGGATGAAAACTCTGCAGTGGCAGCAAATCCTCTGGGCAGCAGGTCTGGCATCAAAACCACCCCTGTGCACTCCCATCCCAATCCCAAGAGAGAGAGGAGCTGAATCCCAGCCAAAATCTCCAGGGATGTCTGCACTTCCCAAGGGAAAGCCCCACAGCTAAGAGACTGCAGTCAGCTGCACTCTTCCTCCTCCTCCTCCTCCTCCCAGCCACATCTTTTAAGTAGCAGTCATTCCCATCTCTTAGGCAACAAATGGGAGAAAAAAAATCAATAAAAAAAGAAAAATACTAACATCCAACAACTACTTAACTTCATTATGCACTGTCTCACTTAACTGCATTTGCATTGTCTCACTTCTCAAAAACATCAAATTCTTCTAATGCCACATTCCAGTGCTGTTTTGTATTAGTGGAAAACTGATGCCATTGGCACACTGTAAAGGTATGTAACCTGCAATACCTAGGACAGAATTACATGGGCTCCCCCTGCAAAACTCCACATTCATATTTAATCTTTACTCTAAAATTATTCCAGGCATTGCAGATCAGCATTGTTCCAACATGACAGTTGTGATGCTATTATTTCTTCAGAAAAACAGTGTTTAAAGAAAAAAAAAAATCCCTAAGTTCTGTAATTTTAAAAGTTTGCATGCAATAAGCATGCAAAAATAATTTCTGAGTTTGAAATTAATTTCTAGGAATATAACTTGCCATTCTGTAGGACTAATGAAGTTATTTAATTGCCCATGCAAATCTTCATTCTCCTTCACCAACTCTTCAACTTGTGCTTTAAAATTCTTCATATCCTCCTGGAAGACAAAGGATTTCATATAAAGTTCTTTATAATTATTTTGCTTTAATTTTTACATCAAGAAAAAATTTTATGAGTACACATGCTTAGGTGCCTTCTAGTTCTTGTCATAATAGAATATTATCTCACTACTCACTCATCTCTAATGAGTGAGTGCATTCAGGTGTGCATATTTGATTTCTAAATTGGTTCATTAATCTAGTAATAGTTGATTAAAAATAATACTGATATGGTGCCACATTTTTGCAAGTTGCAGACCCTCAGAAGAATTCTGAAAATTACTGGATGACACTCTCCATTTTCAGTAGGAGTGACATGGATTTGGATATGGTAAGACAACACAGTGAATTTACAATAATACAAAAAACCCTTGCTGCTTTCTGCTTATTTTATGGCTGAATTTTTTGAAGGAAATACATTTCTTTTTAAAACTCAGAAAAGTTGTACTCTGAAACAAATAGCTATTTTTTCAAAGATTCAGTGACAAAAAATGCTTCTAAAAAGCAACAAGAGTACCCAATCTTTTAATACCTAGAAGTAAGTATTCTTCTACCACAAAACCCACAAGCAGCTGCAAGAGCACTGAGTTCCCATCATGAATGACAAAAATTCATTCCACCAGTGACTAGTTTATGTTTGCTCTATTTTCAGAGCATATCTTACATATGTCAGTGTAGTGCATGCTCCTAAAAGTGAATAGGCTGACAAAAATAAGCAAGCCAAGTAGGATAAAACAGCACAATACTATGCATGGAAAAGAAAAACAAAGTAGCTTCAAATTTTAGGCAGACAACAGCATTGGTAAATCCTTCTAAAAATTTGGTAATTTTTTTCTGCTTTAGTGGATATTTTTTCTAAACTTGCCTCATGTTCAAGAATAAAATCTTCCTTTTCTCTTATTCTATCTTCATATGCCAACAGAAGAGGTGACAAATACTTCATATCCAACTTAAAAGAAAATTAAAAAATAAATACATGTAGATTAATTACAAGCACACAGACCATTATATGCAGAATGATGCTGCAGAAACACCTCACAGTACTGTGTTAGCAGCAAGCTTTGGAAAGGAAAAGACCTCATGCTTTACTTGCATCTTTCTTCTAAAAAGCAGCTTTAACTTATCACTACATGTAACACAGCAGAATATGGATGCAAATGAATTCAAAACAAGATTAAAACACTATAGTGAATACTACTGCTAAAAAAAAATTACCCCAGATTCATTACTAAGTGGGAAGGGAATTTTTACACTCTCAAATCTGAACCATTAAGACTAAATACATTCATATGTGATTACTGGCTGTTTTGGCTAAAAAGAGAGAGCAGGAGAACTTTCCCACTCTGTATAGTTCTCTGTATAGTAACAGTGAGGAAAGAAAATATCAGATCTGTTTAGTATTTCAAGGAGAAATTGCTTTTACATATGACAAATGCATTCCCTTTCACAGACTATTTCCTTCTCCTTGTCAGAAATTCACAGGCTACTACTGGATTCATGACATTCCTACAATCAGAAAAATTCTGTTTTCTTTTAGTATGATCACAAAAAAAGTAACAGCAAAAGAATACCAGTTAAGACTAACAATTAGGATTACCAATTAAAATTAACAATTAAGCAATAGACCTTGAAAGACCTTGAAGTAAACTAAATGCTAGACAATTCCAAGTGAAGATGGCATTTATGATTCTCAGCATGACAATACTTTTCAATAGTTCAAAGCTGGTGACAATGTGCAGTTTGTAATTTACTGTACATTCAGCTGGAACATGCACACATTCATTACAAACTTCTGCCATACATATTTTTCTGCCACAAAAGAAATGTTTATAATATTCTCTTAGTATGTGATAGTTCAGCAGAGTAATATCTGAATGCTTTGATTCCAGTAAAGAAATTCTACTTCTTTACTTAGAGGGAATGAACAATCAAATGAAAATATTATTTGACTTACCAGCCATGGTGGTTGTGGTCCTTCCATGGGTAAGCTTTTCAGCTTTGCATTCTAGAATGGATAATTAAAAATATATTGACATTACTTCCTGCTTTTTGAAGCACCAGAAACTGTCCACTGCAGTCTCAATTATCATCCCAAACAAGCTTATTACATATGTTGCATAAGTAACACACACCCAATAAAACTGAAAATCCACTATGTTACTGATACTAAATAATATGAATTCTTAATGATAAAGGCTTATTTAAAATTTCAGAGAAAGCCTGTGCAATTTGTAGACTTTATGGCAAATCTGAAGAAAACAGTAATAAAAACTCAAAAGATTCAACAGACAATGGAACATTTCAGTAGTAATTATAATGAAGATAATGAAGATTGATAATGATAATGAAAAATAATTGATTAATAATGATAATTGATAATGAAGATTCTCACCTCTTCTTGGGACAATGACCTGAATTTAGTCTGATAACGACTTAATTCCACATTTAAACGATGGACCACTGTTTTCAAAGCATCATTTTCATCTACCAGCTCTTGTGCTTGTTGTCTGAGAGAAAGTAATTCTGTTGCCTCTCCTATTAAAACAAAAATCCAACAAGAAAGTTCCATTAAAATTCAAGGAATGTTCACAATAACTTGTTAATTATAATGAAAAACAAAAAAAATAAGCTAGAATAATAACCAATAACTTCTCTCAAAGAGAAAGAAAAATTGAAAAATCCCATGAAAACTACCAGCAAAAAACCCATTCTATTTCAAACAACAAGTGATTTTTTTTTTTTAATTATCATGTACTTATTCCTTAACAAAATTTTTAAAAATATGTTTGGAAACCACTTCTGCAAGCATACTTGCCTAATTCAATGACTTGAAACCTGCTGCTAGGGGAAAAGGTTGTAAGAAATTAGAAAAATTGAAACAAGATAAATACAGAAGAGCTTGTATGTTTCTCCCACCTTCTCTATGTGAGTTCTCTGCAGCTTCTTTAAGTCTTTTGTTTTCTTCTTCTAGCATCTTCAACTTTAATTCCTGTTCTTTTATGAGCTGTTTTGTTCCCTCAAATTGCTGGACCACAGCTTGGTATGCCTTTTTCAGAGTCCAATTTTCTTGTTTTAGTTCTCTGAACTTTTCTTTGCTTATATTTTCCCATACTTGCCTTGCCCGAGCAGACACGTCTGTAATGCCACAGAACAAGGTATTTAAATAGCAGCCAGACTGGAACAGGAGTTTCAGCAATAACAATCCATTCTTTCTAATAATAACATTATATTGAGTGATACTTTAAGATCTAGATCAGTATCCAGACTGGAATAGGAGTTTCAGCCAATTACAAACAATTTTTTTTTCTAATATTAACATTGTATATGAATGATACTTTATTAGATCTAAATCAGTCTCCAGACTGGAACAGGAGTTTCAGCAAATCAAAATCATTTTTTCTAATATTAACATTATATATGAGTGATACTTTTTAAGATCTAACCAGACTGGAATAGGAGTTTCAGCAAATTAAAATCTATTTTTTCCAATATCAACATTATAGATGAGTGATATTTTATAAGATTTAAATCAGCTCATGGCTCAAGATAAGACTAGGGAAAACAAAAAACCGTGGATTTGGAAAGAGAGCTGTGGAGTGGCTGCAATTTCCCATCTTTTCCCTCAGACACTAAAAATATTCATCCTTTTAATGAGTTTTGTGCCCTGCATGGACTAGTCAGTATTCTTGATCCCTGCAAATTTTAACCACCTATACAATGCAAATTTACATGCCTTCCCACTGAACAGCTTCAGTGTCATTGAAGAGAAGTAACTGACCAATTCCTACAAAAGTAAACTTTTAGATTATCTGCAAAACTTTGGATATGTTGTTGCATCAGTAAAATTGATTTTCATACACACATGCATATTAATAAAGTGAAAATGTCTGACAAAGTCATTGAAAAATCCAAAGTACCTGGGGATGGTGGAGGTTTGTCATGTACCAGATTTTCAGCTACTGATTTTTCCTCCTAGCAGAGAAATAAAAAATGAGATAATCTGCTTTAACAGCATCACTGCTGAAGAACTTAAATAACATTTTTGAAGGAGTTTATTTTATATAAACTAAATTGAATGTTGCATTCACTGCTGATAATACTCAACTTATCATCTACTCATCTAGACATCATTTTATCAATTATCACTGCCATCAGTCACTTGTGGACACCTGAAACTCACTATTATCTTTAGTAGTCAGAAATGTACAGTTCTCAAAGCAATTATTTTACAGCTGACATAAAAGTCACAAACACAAAGCTTCTTGATGAAACAGGAAGGGTATTCCTGCCACTTGTTAGCTTGTACAGAGTAAGACTTTAGAGCAGTCAATTAACTGGTTATCAGCAAATAAATTAAAATGTCAAGTGTTTTTCAGAGTTGAAGAACTTTGTTCTTGCTTTGCTGGAAAAAAAATTGAAAATATTTGTATATTTTCAGAAGGGAAATAATTACAGTGTCATTTATGCTAATATATTTACTTGAGGTGAAGGTGATGTAGAGATTTCTCCATGTTTTTATGAAACAGCAGTAAGTTTTGTAAGGATATGCTGTCATGTAATTTAACACACTGATGATACTGAGTGACACCAATGATTAAATGAGACAAAACTCATGAACAATTCCAAATAAACAGTTATGTGATTAAGAACTTGTAGAAAAAAGTTCTGATAACAATGGAAGAACTGACCATTTTCATAAACAATCTTCTGGCAAGTTGATCTAAGAAACTAAATTTTTGGGTATTCCTTTTCAAGCTTATGAAAGCAGTCAGATCAGCTCAAATAGAAAACTATACAAAAATGCAATAAAGTCAGGCTCAGAGTTTGAAAATTAACAGTATGAGCTATCCCTTGCTAGAGCATGCTCTCATTCTAAGTTTCTTTCACATGAGGAATATCAGACAATATACTATAAAAAAAATAAAAGCAACAACTTTTCTATGGCTTATTTACCTATATAGTAGCATTTTTTTCAAAATGAATGATTAGCCATTCTCATATTCCAAAAGAAAAAGATTGCACAGTGCTAATAAATTAGCTTTCTTTTAAGTGACTGCAAACCTAGCAGCTTTTTATGACAGCCTATTTTCTAAAATGCATCATAAATCAACTTTTATAGAAGTCTTACCTTTAAATTCGAGCCCAGATTTTGGTCTTCTGTTAAAGAAAAACAGATCTTTCAGTCAATGAGAACAAAAATTATTTTAAGTCCATAAGCTCTAAGGGTTCATAAGGATATGTATGCACACATATAATAAATGCACATAAATGTAAGAAAGTCCTTCCCAAAGCACAGATTAGATCATTAATTTTCCATTAACTCTTTCATGGTGTAGCAGGACATTGATGCGAGACCTCACTTTACCTCACAGTGGATAGGTGCAAGTAAGCTGGATTGTTGGCTTCTGTGATAAATTTAGAATTTAACTGAAGAACAAATGAAATATTGTCACTGATTTTACTGGACTTGAATCCTACTGCATCTCTGAACAAAACAATGTAATTCTGACAGCTTTCAAGGCCTGCAGCAGTTATTATGTACAAAAGGGATTAGAAAGAGTTTATATATCCTACATTTTCAGTTTAATGCCTTCTCTTCCCAAATGGTTTTATCAAAGCAACCATTCTTTCTGAATAGTGTTCTCTATGAAATAGAGAAATAAATAGACTCTACTGAAAAAATGAAATTGTGTCTTTGAATTTTATTCATGTTGGATCCAACATGAATAAAATTCAAAGACAAATTTTTGCAATTTGACTCAGTTTTGCTTCCTCTTTCCTATCCACTAGCTACAGAGTGCTACCATCTGTGGGAGATAAGAAAAATTTTATAAAATAAGGGCCTGAGAAGCCTCTGTTCACTTCTGTTCCTTTCTGTCACCTCAGCTCATGGGAAAGCACTCTGGGAAAGCCTCAGCTAAGGGGGCAGCAAAAACCAAGTTACAAAACCTAAAAACCAAGTTGTGTAAACAGAAAACAAGCCATACAAGCAGTGTTGCTCAGCTTGTGTTTGGGGTTCTGACTGCTCAGGGCACATGGGGACTCTGTGAGACAAAAAAGGGGATGGGGTAAAGGCAGGCACCACTGCATGTTTATTCTGTTTCATGGCAATGGAAACAGGTAAGAGTTTACCCTCTGAAAACAGTATAAAAAGGTTTTTTGCAATAAATAATCTTCCCTTGCAGCTGCTACCAGGAGTCTGTGTTTTTCATTCATTATTGCTACAACCATCCTCTGTAAAACTGCATTTTTCAGCTCCAAAATTAATTCTTCTTTCCCTACTCTTGATTTGAAAATAACAGACAAGATAATTATGCAAGAAAACTGCTACACCCATATACTGGTGTTGCTCTATTGTTATAATTTTTTTCCACAATATTCTATTGTTATAAGAAAATTGCCTAAGGACAGATCCAGTAACAATCCAAAGGTCCCTAATCTAATGAAATTACTTAGTGAAAAAAAAATATTTGTGAATCTTAACAATTCAGTGCTTAGGTTGATATTCTGAGATTAATTATCATGTTTATTTCTCTATTCTGAAGAAACATCCTGACACCAATAATGATACGACTTTTGTAGAAGGTATAAGCAACACTACTGTCATGCCATTTGATTATTAAAACCTCAGGAAGTTTTTACTACTGTTTTTTAGACAAGTAAAATAACTGATTAAAAAGGTTTTCCTCTCTCTATCTCTAGCTTTTGGCTTGTTTTTTTTTTCTTTTGAACACTGCTAGTTTCTACAGCTTTTACTTTTTTCCATTTTATTTTTGAACACATTAGCACTCCAAAAAGTTCCAGATTACAAACCTGACTGTTTCAACAAAAGCATAGTAGAGAATGACTGCACTTTACAAGACAAGAGTTCACAAAACCTTTCTCCCCATTTCTTCATTTAACAGTGGCTGACAGTTCAGTGAGTATAGACCAATCTTTCCTCTTTATGCAGGTTTTTAATTTTCTATAACTATTAGAAACTGCTAAGTACTTGTAGCATTTTTAACTGCCAGTATAAAAAAGGAATATAATATTACAATATAGTATCACATTTATTGTATTAATTTTTTCCCAATGTTATTAAAAGCATAGCATTTTGACTTAAAGTAAGTTTACTTACCTTCTATTTGTACACTTGACTTATCCACTAGCACCTGACATTCAGCTTCATGGGAAGAAACCTCTTTCTTGTCAGCATTAGGAATAGGAGATGGTGGAAACTCTTCCTATGTAAAAATAAGACAAACCTCTCTAAATCATGAGGTCACTGTTAAAACAGCCCATGAACCTTGATACCTGTATGACACATTTAGTATAATTTTAACTCCCAGTCACATTCAGAATTGTTCACTAATATTTTAAAATAGTAATTTATAAAATTTGTTTCTTCTCTTGTTTTCTTGGCGGTTTTTTGTGGGTTTTTTTTTTGTGTTGCTGTTGTTTAGGGCCCTATGTAAATAAAATCTAAACCTTACAAGGATCAACAGGTGGTTAGCAAGTATGAAGTGATAAGTTCAAGTACTCTCCATCACCTTCTTTGGTTACAAGAGTCCATGAAATTATTCTGTTTCCTTGCCTGCTGTGGCATAAGTAATCTCAATTATCAACCAATTATCTACTGTATCACTCTGTGAAGGATGAATGAACCACGAATGAACCACAATTACCATTATCTTTGCTGGTTTGCCCACTGATCACACAGCACTATTCCACATATTCTCATATTCTACTCACTCTCCCCGCCCCCCTTTTTTTTTTCCCTTCCCCTTCTGTGGTATTTTCTGTGTTTCTTGTCATAGGGAGGAAATGATGAATTTTTAGAAGGCTAATTTATTATTTTATGATACTATATTAGAGAATACTGTACTAAAGTTATACTAAAGAATAGAGAAAGGATACAGACAGAAGGCTTAACAAGATATCAATGAAAAACTCCTGACTCTCACCAGATCTCTGACACAGCTGACTGTGATTGGTCATTAAGTCAAAACAATTCACATTAAAACAATCAAACAATGACCAGTTTGATGATGATGATGACAATAATAGTAATAATAATAGTAATAATAATAGTAATATCTAAACTACATTCTAAAGCAGCAAAACACAGGAGAAGCAATCAGATAATTATTGTTTTCATTTTTCTCTGAGGCTTCTCAGCTTCCCAGGAGAAGAAATCCTGGGCAAGGGGACTTTTCAGAAAATGTGACAGTGACACCCTTCCCTCCTCTTACCAGCTACTGTCTCTGCACCTTGGGGTGTTTTATGGATTCTTCCACGTTTTGGGATTTGTGGTGTATATTCTAAAGCTGATGGTCATACTTTACTGGTGCTGGGTTTTTTTGAAGAGGCATTTTTTAAGAGATCTTTATTTGCCTTTTTCCTACTCAGATACTTCTTCCTGTTTCTTAAATTTTTGTCTCATTTTTGATTTAATTTTAAATGTGCCTTTGGAGTATTAAATTCATTACTGTTTAAGACAATCCAAAATTATATCATACATAAATTTCCTGGTCTTCAGGAAAAGGTTATTTGTTTTGTTTGATTCTGAATCTTCCCATTTCTACATAGGCCTGTGCTCATTAGCACAATACTGAACCCTTAACTAAGCTTTCACCATCTAATAGTAAAATTACTACTGCTTTTAACAAATCATCTACTCTAAGTACCATGCTCAATATAAATTATTGGACATTTTACAAGACTATGCATTATTATTATATATAATTATGCATGATAATTATATGCAATACCAGTGTGCTCCTAATAACCAGAGAAACTCTGTGACAATCAACAAATCTAGAAAATTCATGTAAGAGTAAATGAATCACAAAAATTAGCATGTGAAATAAATATTGAATACATGTGAAGAGTAAGAAGAGAATAAAAAGCATCTGAAATATGAGCATGCATTAAGATATTAAAACATGGTAAAGGAACTAATGCATTTAAAAATTTTACCTTTTTAGTTTTGCAGGGAACAGAATAAATAGCATTGGTGCTAGAGCTTCCTTCCCTTTTCTCATTACTCTGGCAGCTGGACTCTGCCTCTTTATCAGCATCTGAAAGATATGTGTCCATGTCCTCATCTTCACCATCATTGCCTGATATTTCCAGGGACTGTAGAGGAGATCTGTCACAACCATCGAGGTTCCAGTTAGATCTGCAAAAAGCAATTTAATAATTTAATGCCTGTTTCAGCACTGCCTACTCTTCAAAACAACCCAACACCAGTAAAGTAGAACCAGCAGTCTTACAACGTACACGAGTCCAAAGAGACACAGAGACATCTAGGCTTGCCTTCATTCCTTGTTGGCTGAACAAGGAACGAAGGCAGAAACAGGACAGCAAGCAAGAGGCAGCAGAAACTCCTCAGCTGTAGCTGAACTTTTTAGCTCCTGGAAGGAGGGGCAAAACAGCTCCAGTGCAGGGAAAACCCCAGAGCAGCAGCCCTGGCTCCCAAACACGGCAGAGAAACTCCCAGGGACTGCTCACTGGCACTGGCTGGGGCCTGGGCTTGGGCCTGCAGAGCTCCTGCTGGGCACACACTGGCCCTGGGCTTCCCCAGAGCACAACAGCAAAAAGGGCCAAGCTGGCAAGCTCAGTGCCAAAGCAAAAATAACAATAATAAAAAAAAAACCAAAAAAAAAAAACCAAACAAACAAAAAAACCAAAACAATATGAAACAAACAAAAAGAAACCAACCAAAAAACAAACCCAATGCAAAAGCAAAGCCCAAAGCAAAAACAAACCCCAAAGCAAAAAAAAACCCCCAAAGCAAAAAAAAAAAAACCAAAGCAAAAAAAAAAACCCCAAAGCAAAAACAAACCCCAAAGCAAAAACAAACCCCAAAAAACAAAACCCCAAAGCAAAGAAACCCCAAAGCAAAGAAACCCCAAAGCAAAGAAACCCCACAGCAAAGAAACCCCAAAGCAAAGAAACCCCAAAAAACAAAACCCCAAAAAAACAAAACCCCAAAAAACCCCAACCAACCAAAAACCAAAACAAATCCAAAAAAAAAAACAGAAAAAAAAACCAGAAAAACCCCAAAAAAACCCCAAAAACCCAAAAAAACCAGCAAGAAAATAAAACCACAAAAAGAATTAGGCAAACCCCACAGAAACAGCAGGATCCTGGTCAGTGTGTCCAGTGGAACAAGCCCATGCCCCTCACCCTGCCCCAAACTCCCTCCGGACACCCCAGCTCAGCTCCATTCTTCTCAACAGCCCCAGAGCCAGGCAGGGTGGGGGCTGAAGCAGGGACAGCAGCCCCTGAGCACAAACTAACCCAAACAGATCAAAAACCCCAAATGGTACAGGATAATAAACCATCTCCAAGACAGTGTCTATGTGTATACTCTAAAACAGGTAATTAACACTGGTACTACCTTTTCCTCTCTATCTTAAAATGCCAGATTAGAGACAGCTCTTAATTCTACCAAAAAGACAGTTTGAAATAATCATTTTAGTACAAAGGAAATATCTTGCATGTAAATCAAGTGATTCCTCAGTTCATCACCGAGGAGTTCATTCTGTAAAATTGATCATCATTTGATAGAAACAGTATGTGACTTTAGTTATGACTGTTGTACAATCAAAATCTGCCTCTTTGAGAATTGTATGTGTGACACCACTTTACAAGAAACAGAATAAGGATTGTTATGTTGGAGATTTTTTCAGAAATGGCTTAGAAGGCAGCTGTGAGGAGTAAAATTCTCACAGCCTGTTTCTGTAAACAGCAGAGGTTCTCAGGTTGTTTTTAATTACAAGTAAAAGTGACAAACATGAAGGCCTTGAGAACCTTGCATACCAGGGTTCTCAGGCAGCTTTCTCATAACAAGTAGATATTCTATCTTTGGCTGTTTTGGGAAAGCAAAATTAAGTTTTGAGAACCCAAATCTTGGTATTGGAAACATAAGGAGGGGTTGGTATGTTATCTCTGACCTATTGTGAGCTCGGGTTTGCAATATGCATAAACTTAATTAACACGGTTATAAAAAGTGATTGATTGAGTGAATAAACGGAGTCAGATGCTGAACAAGGAAGCTGGGTCTCTCCCTCCATCTTCAATATTGTTAGAGACTTCAGACTGAATTTATGGTATAGTAAGAAAAAAGTAAGTAGCTGTAACAACAGCTGTAACAAATTATACCAGTTTGCTGTCACTCTGGTAAAACTGACCACTGAGAGATTCCAAGGTATCGTTTATCACCACAATTTCAGGTATCAAACCAGAAAGCATACACTACCCTATTCCAAGCTCTGTGACTGTTGCATATGGCTCCAAACATTCTTGCTCCAAGAAGGTGGAATCACCTTCAGAGAGGGATCTCTGCCGAGGCTGAGGAATAGCAACAGTGCGCCCTGTTAGTGTTGTTGCAAGGATTGCTGCTGCTAGAGCAGACCTGCAAGGAAACACAACAAAGCAATGAAGCAATACTGGTGCTTTCCCTGTGCTCCACATTTTATAACTTTTCCTTTGCAAAATGTCTTCATTATTTAATCAAAGCAAAACGTTCACAGTTAACAAGCATAAATATCAGTGACTGCTGTGGGATTAGTTATAAACTATAACCTCCTGTCACAGACATCTTTTATAAAAAATGCTTTCCTTAGGATTTTTCCTCCTGAGAAGCTGAGAGACCTCAGGAACAAAATGTAAACAATGGTTATCTGCTGCTGTAGAATGCAACAGGTGCATCTGTGATTATCTCATGTTAGATGTTTGTAATTAATGGCCAACCACAGTCAGCTGGCTCAGACAAAGAGCCAAACCACAAACCTTTGTTATCATTCTTTGCTATTCTATTCTTAGCCAGCCTTCTGATGAAACCTTTTCTTCTATTCTTTTAGTATAGTTTTAATGTAATATATACAATGAAATAATAAATCAGCCTTCTGAAACATGGAGTCAGATCCTCATCCAAGAACCCTTGTGAGCACCATCACAACCTCCCAAAGCAAAGCACAAAACAATGCAGCTGTCCAAGAGCAAGGTACAATATCTATTGGTTTTCACAAATCACATGCATGAAAATCATGGAATATACCAAGTTTCCCAAAATTTACATCAATAATTTACAGTATTTAGCACTCACTTCAGCCATAACAACACTACCTTGTGCTGTGTTGAAAAAGTCTTCCATGTCCTGCTATTTTGTCTCCATTACTCCCTACTCTAAACCTTTTACTGATGACTCTGAAGTTGTTAACAAGTGTTGGCACACTGCAAACCAGGACAAGCAAACAGAAGTGCCTATTTGTGTGATGCTGTGGAGTACAGAGAAGGGTATGATGAAAAGGAAAAATAAGCAGTAACTAAGATTAAAGCAGTGAAAAGCTGAGAACTGTAAAATGAATGACAAGAACTTGAGGCCAAAAAGGAAGAAGAAATTAATTAGAATTAAGTAGGAATGTTACGGACACTAAGAAGGCCACAGAAAACAACCAGAATGCAGAAAAAACAGAATAAAAACTAAGAAACTACAACTTAAAAGAAAAATAATTTGCATGTTTCCAATCCAGCGTGGTGTTACCTACCAGTTTTTGAAGTCCCTGGTATGGAAGCAAGGCTTAATTTATGTTTTTCTAATGAGCTAACATTTCCTGACTCACAGCACTCGTGCTGCTGCAGTTCTACACTCTACTGTAGCAGCCAAATTTAAAATTCCATTAACTTTAAATAGTCCATTTGTCTTTAATTGACTCAGACAAGTCACATGTTCACAACAGTTACTGTCCTGAATATTTACCATGCTTAGGAGTGGGGAAAAAAAGTTCAGAGTGAGAAATTTCCCTCCTTAAAAACATTATTTTGATGAAAAGTTCTGTAAATATTGTAAAGACACGCAATTCTTCTAATCAGATTTTTCTAGTATGCTACAATACCTGATGAAACAACAAAAAATATTAAAAAAAAAAGAAAAAATAATATTAAAAACCCCAAAAAGCAAGACATACCTGGGCCTTTCTGGAGAAGGGTTTGGACTACGAGGGGGAGGGGTGCGGGGAACTGCAGGTTTAGGAGCTATGGTAGCAGCAGGGACCAGGCCATGAGCTATGTGTTTCTAAATGATTTAAAATAAAATTAGTTGACAATGATTGTAAGGATTACAATGAGAAAAAAAACACACAGAACTGAATGTGCACAGAAACTAACAATGCAAAATAATGTAAACAGGAAGAACAATGACATGCAATTAATGTAAACAGAAGACTTGAAATGGCATTTCATTCCCCTTAAAGTCAGAACACCATGTAAAGCTGAAAAGTTCATTTCACATTTATCAACAGCTGCTCTTGAAGGTTAAAAATGTAATTTACATGAGGCCCATTAATGTACACTTTCTATCCACTATATCACAATTTGCAAAACCAGAATTTCAACTTACTCATCTTTTTCCTATAGATACACCAGAAAAACTGGACTAGAAAATAACTTTTTCAAAATATCAGAATGCTGCTTCAAACGAACAATATTAGTCCCTTTCTTCTAGTTTGTCAATCCTCAGTCATAGCAGTATGAGACAGAAAAAAAACCTCACTACCACTAAGTCTTGCAGTCAAAAGTTCAACCTTAATTATAAAAAAAACAAAAAACCAATGCATTTTTTCCATCAGCAAACACAATATTTTTTTTTAAATGGTATAACATTAAATACCAGCTCAGAAAAAATGGGCCCAGAACTCCTGCAAAAGTACTGTGAAGGAAACTGGATACTGGTTGAGGTTGAAGGGAGCTCTGGAGATTGTCCAGCTCCTGCTGGAAGCTGGGTCACCCACGAGAGGGTTCCTTGGTGTCCTGTCCAGTCATGTCTTGTGTATCTCCAGCCTGTACAATGCTGAGCCATCTCACAGTATTTTATTATTATGTTTAAGTTGAATTGTCTGTGCTTGAGTTTGTGCTCATTACCTCTTGTCCTCTCTCCAGGCATCAGAAAATACTATGCCATAATAATCCATCACCTTCGGGCAGATGTTACTTTTCTATGCAGTGAAACAGACTAAGTTCTTGCTATTTCTGCTACAGATCTTTTCAACCCCAATTATTCCGTAATTCACTTCTCCAACAGGAGAATGAAGATGAAAACTGGGAAATATTTCTGGTTTTTTATGAAGTCACATAAAATAATTAAACAGTGCGTTAAAAGACTGCCTTTTTACTCAGCCATGCAAACTCACTGCTCCCTAATTCTGCATGTGTGTCTGGCATGCACCATTTCTATTGCATGCTGCACCATGTCTATTGCAGGCTGTTGACTGCAGACACAACTGACTGACCCTGCTAAGACTACCAGGGAACACAGCCGAAGCAAAAGTCATCCCATGGTAAAAGTATGACAACAACAGAAGATCAATACTTTCACTGCAGTAATAAACAAAAATTCATTTAGTTCAATACGTTGGAAGAGTACACCGGCACAACTGCTGATAATCGCACAGCCTTTGGCTGCCTTGGGCCAGAACTTTTATCAGCTCACTTTACAGTGAACGGTGCTTTGAGGATGGGCTCGGCAAGAGCTGGGAGCGAGCGAGCTGCGCTGCCAGCCCGGCCACGGGGAAGGGAAGGGAAAAGGGAAGGGAAGCTCGGCGTTCCTGAAAAGCCAAGCAGGCCGGGATTGAGGGAAAGGAACGCACCAGCCCCCAGACACCATTTTATCTTGGCTTGGCTTGATTTTTCTCCCCAATTTTCACTTTTAAGTGCTCAGCGATCATAGGCATCACCCCTGGCCCCAGCCGCGCACAGACCCCCGCGCCCTGCTGTCCCCGCTCACGGTAAAGGAGCCCCATGCCGGCACAGCGATACTCACGAAGGGGCCCCTGCGGCCTCTCCTGAACAGGAACGCCATCAGGACGGGACGGGACGGCTCCAACCACCGCCTCACGGC